TAGTTCGTTCCGGAACTACCCACCACTACTCTCCACGGAAAATTAAGTACGCGTATCTCCTCCGCGCAGACGTTCCCCCATGTTTTAGGAGGATTTTAAAGAAATTAGTGTTGTTTATGTGGTGTGCATGGAAAAATTAACCAGGTTTATTTGACTTACGGCAATCATAGACATACTATACAATTATATTAACATTGTTAAATATAATAACATAAATATAATGTAATTAAACATAAATATAAACAATTACATAACCACACAAATCATATGTCTGTGTCCTCCTAAAACATGGCGCGCGTGCTGAAAAACTTCAAAGGCGGCATCTGAGAGTGGCCCTTCTGATTGTTTATTATTCTGTGGCATCGTGAAGAACTACGAGATTAGCACTTAGCCACAGAATAATAAAGAAACAGAATACCCACTCTCCACGGAAAATTAAGTACGCGCATCTCCTCCGCGCAGACGTTCCGCCATGTTTTAGGAGGATTTTAAAGAAATTAGTGTTGTTTATGTGGTGTGTATGGAAAAATTAACCAGGTTTATTTGACTTACGGCAATCATAGACATACTATACAATTATATTAACATTGTTAAATATAATAACATAAATATAATATAATTAAACATAAATATAAACAATTACATAACCACACAAATCATATGTCTGTGTCCTCCTAAAACATGGCGCGCGTGCTGAAAAACTTCAAAGGCGGCATCTGAGAGTGGCCCTTCTGATTGCTTATTATTCTGTGACTTAGCAGTGTCACCAAACGAGAGGGTGCCAAATAAAAACGTGCGTTGATTTTTGCTATCCTTGATACCACTCTAAGTTTAATTTTGGATTATTCAATCAACAAACGGTTTAATTTATATTTATCATGTATTTATCTGTGTTCAAAACAGTTCAAGTTCAACGCACAATACAATAATGACAATAATACATATCCACAAGTTCAATACATATGTACAATGTACTGGTACTTCTGTATGACTGAGGACATACATGGATTATTTGATATTGAAGTGTTTTTCTCACTGAAATAATATTCCATTACTTAATACTAAAGTTATTATTCATTCATTATGGAACTTAATGAAAATATTAAAGATTATGAAAACCAAGAAATATTGACATGTATAAAATATGAAGGAGATTATCTAAAGAAATATAACAAAGAAGTTAAATCTGAAATAGATGAACACAACTTTGAAAGCAGTTTTGGACAGGAATCTTTATTAGATGAGTATTGTTCAGATGATGTTAAAATAGAAAACCATGTGTTAGAAGATGTATCTAATGAAATTAAAGATGAAATAAAAAGAGAACCAGGGGATTATAGCATTGGTAGGAAACTCATTTCTCTTCATTTTTAATTATCTTATGCTATGAATGTGATATTTCACTGAAGTACTTGATAAGATTGTATCCTTTTATATTCAAATGACCTTTGTTTTTCTTAAAGAAAAAGATTCTTGAGCCCAAGGAAGAACTATCTTGAATTAGGGGTCTTCTTTCTCTCATATACTTATATTACAGTAAGGACCACTACTTTCTCTCCTGATTAAACTTCGATTAGTGCAATTTTGTTAGGTGGTTAACTTTAATCAGTTCTACTTGGTACTTTCATCCCTGATTAGACTTGATCAAGAGTTAATGATCAATTAACTTTAACCAATCAAAAGCAGTATGATTAACAGCCATAAAGATAATCAAGGTATTCTAACCTAACATTTATAAAATAAACTATTAAACTTTTATTTTTGGCAAAATCTGCATTTTATATTGACAAAAAGATATGATGAGCTTGATATCACAGCACAAGTTTTAATAACTTTACAAATTTATGCTACAAATTGTTTTTATATAGATGGCGATAATAATTTTGGTAGTACACACAAAACAAGTACTGGAAAAATTTTAAAACATAAAATACTGGCAAGTGGATGTTGTTGATATTGATATAGATCACACGAAAGATATTTCATTTATACATAGTAATCTATAAACGACAATATAAAAAATTTCATTAATACATATTTAACATTTGTTTTAGTGTATTGAATAAGTTTAAATTGTTAATACATTTTATAAACATCTGTTAAATTGACTATTTTAATTTTGAATCAGGAACCTGAACAAATACTAAACTTTTCCACAATCTCTAAAACATGATATGAAACAAATGCAAATTTATATTTGAAATGCAAGCGCAAAATTGACCAGAAAGTACCGAAACTTATTTGATCAAGGTTGAATCAGCTGATTTAATAATCGCCAGTAGCAGAAGGTACAGGCCCTAAATATTAGAAGATATATTATATTTTCATTTAAAAGTCTCATATATTTATGTTAATATTGTATTTTTCTATTTTATGAAATACCCAAGATACTTTCTGTTTGTTCATATTACAGCTATACTTCTAGACTTTAATTAAAATCTGGTTAAAATTCAATAATTCTCAATAAATATTCTAATAATGATTTTTCTTCTGAAAGCAATATTGCAGACTTTGTATCTATCTATCCTTTGATTATTTTTTTTAAGTTTAATATAAAGTTGAATATGTTAGATGTGAACATTTTGTTATAGTTTTTCTATTTATTTATTTCTTTTTATTGTATTTTCTATTTATTACTTTTTGTTTTAGTATATATATTTTTCTTTTAGTAAAAAGCATATTCTAACAATTTGGTTTTTATTTTAGCTGCTCCACAGGATACGAAAATAGAAGTTACTAAACCATTCACTGCTCCCAAAGTATGTTTGAAAACTTATACTGGTGAAATACCTTATAAATGTGAAATTTGTACTAAGCAGTTCATTACAAGAAGTAAATTAAATGATCATATGAAAATTCACACTGGTGAAAGACCTTATAAATGTGAAATTTGCAGTAAACAGTTAACTAAACTAAGTAGCTTAAAGGATCATATGAGACTTCACACTGGAGAAAGACCTTATAACTGTGATATTTGTAGTAAGCAATTTGGTCAAATAAGTGGTCTAGTTTATCATATGAGGGTTCATACTGGTGAAAAACCTTATAAATGTGAAATTTGCAGTAAGCAATTTACTCAGACAAATAGTTTAAAAGATCATATGAGAATTCACACTGGAGAAAAACCTTATAGATGTAATTTCTGCAGTAAGCAGTTTACCCATCTAAGTAATTTAAATAGTCATATAAAAGTTCATACTGGTGAAAAGCCTTATAAATGTGAAATTTGTAGTAAGCAGTTTACTCAACTAAATAGTTTAAATTATCATATGAGAGTTCACACTGGAGAAAGACCATATAAATGTGAAATTTGTAATAAGCTGTTTACTATAAAAAGTAATTTAAAGCAGCATATGAGAATTCACACTGGTAAAAATCCTTATAAATGTAAAATTTGTAGTAAGCAGTTTACCCACTTAAGTAATTTAAATAGTCATACAAAAGTTCACAGTGGTGAAAAACCTTATAAATGTGAAATTTGTAAGAAGCAGTTTTCTCACCTAAGTAATTTAAATGGCCATATTAGAGTTCATACTGGTGAAAAACCTTATAACTGTGAAATTTGTAGTAAGCAGTTTACCCATTTAAGTAATTTAATTAGACATATGAAAGTTCACAGTGATAAAAAACCTTACCAATGTGAAATTTGCATTAAGCAGTTTACTCAACTAAATAGTTTAAATTATCATATGACAGTTCATACTGGAGAAAGACCATATAAGTGTGAAATTTGTAATAAGCAGTTTGCTATAAAAAATAATTTAAATAGTCATATGAGAGTTCATACTGGTGAAAAACCATATAAATGTGAAATTTGTAGTAAGCAGTTTACTATTAAAAGTAATTTAAATAATCATATGAATGTTCATACTCATGAAAAACCTTATAAATGTGAAATTTGTTTTAAGCAGTTTACTCACCCAAGTAATTTAAATAGGCATATGAAAGTTCACAGTGGTGAAAAACCATATAAATGTGAAAGTTTTTTTAAATAAATATATGGCAAAAAACCAATACAGAAGTAAAAACTTCAAATTTGTATAAATTATAAAAAAATTTATCAAAACTTGTTGAAGTGTTATTCAAAAATTAAAAATGCATAACATTTTCAATCTAAATATGTCAGAAGGCATCAAATTGTAATGGGCATTTCTGTTTGTAAGATATAAATAAATTAATATGTACATTTAAATTTGTTTCAATTACTAATAAATACAGCTTGTTATAACTTTGTATTACCTAATTTCTCTGACAATCTTCCTTTCTTTTTGACATGAATTTTGAAAGACCAAACAAGGTAAGTGTGAATTTAAAATTGAATATAATTAAATACAATTAATCAAAAAAGTAAGTTTAAATAAAATTAGTAAAAATAAATAGAATTAACTGAAATAAAAAAATCGAACTATTGCATAAAATACAAAATTATAAATACACTGCTCCAAGAAATTACCGCACCACTTAAAACTTACCATATAACAGGAAAATATTAACTGAAATGAAAAGCATTTTATTTCGTATTACTTTACTTTGTAAAACAAACATATTTAGTGATGTTGTTGCTAACCATCTTCAATATTCATAAACTTAACACAAACTTATTGTTGTTATTTGTACTGTGAATGGACCTTATTTATTCTGTCAATGTATATATAGTTACACACCCTGGCACTAGGCGATGCGCCAATCGTCGTTTTACGGTTTAATACAGGACTTACACTGCTGGATGGGAGTGTGCTGTGGACCTAAGGTGACATCGAACATCGCAAAACAACGAGATTAGCAGTGCCATCAAACGGAAGGGTGCCAAATCAAAACGTGTGTTGATTTTGGCTATCCCTGTTTTATCTGTAATCTGTGGTTTTATTTATTATTGTATTTTGTTTGTAACAGAGAACTTTTATAATGCTTTTATATTAAACACACCTGAAATAATATTCCATTTTTCCATTACTTAATAGTATTACTTAGTATTACTAACCAAGTTATTATTCATTAATATGGAATGTAATGAAAATATTAAAGATTCTAGGAACCAAGAAATCTTAACATATATTAAATGTGAAGGAGATTCTCTAAAGAAATATAACAATAAAGAAGTTAAATCTGAAATAGACGAACACCACTTTGAAAGTAGTTATGGACAAGAATCTTTATTAGATGAGTATTGTTCAAATGATATTAAAATAGAAAACCATGTGTTAGAAGATGTATCTAATGAAATTAAAGTTGAAATAAAAAAAGAACCAGAACACCACTTTGAAAGCAGTTATGGACAAGAGTCTTTATTAGATGACTATTGTTCAGATGATATTAAAATAGAAAACCATGTGTTAGAACATGTATCTAATGAAATTAAAGATGAAATAAAAAAAGAACCAGCGGATTATAGCATTGGTAGGAAACTCATTTCTCTTCATTTTTAATTATCTTATGTCATTAATGTGATATTTCACTGAAGTACTTAATAATATTGTATCCTCTTATATTGAAATGCCCTTTGTTTTTCTTAAAGAAAAAGATTCTTGGGTCTAAGGAAGAACCATCTTGAATTAGTGGTCTTCTCCCGCTCATATACAGTAAGGGCTGCTACGTTCTGTTCTGACTAAACCTCGGATTAGTGCAATTTTGTTAGGTGGTTAACTTTAATTAGTGCTAATTGGTACTTTCACTCCTGATTAGACTTGATCAAGAGTTAATGGTCAATTAACTTTAACCAGTCAAAATTAGTAGGATTAACAGCCTTTTTAAGATAATCAAGGCATTCTAAGCTTACATTTATAAAAAAAAGTGTAATGTTTGTTTGTTTTGTATGTTAGTGTTTGAACTATTATTTTAATTTATTTTTGCCCAAAATCTGCATTTTATATTGACAAAATAGACCTTCATGAATTTGTGGAACATTTTGATGATGATGAAAGAATAATATATTTTTTAAATAATGTTTGAACTATAAATATATAGTTTTGGTGATATTTGGAAATATTGGTGATAAACACAAAACAAATACTAGAATTGTTATAAATTTTGTTGATGTTGGTATAGAACTTGACACAATAGATATTCCATTTATAAATACCCATGTATTGAGTGAGAACTCCTAGAAGTGATGTAGCACCACTACCCCTTTTAAATTAAATGTGTTTTGTGTTCTGTTTGTTGAAGTGTCTTTAAGTGTTTTTAATTTAAATATATTTCTACCCAGAGACCAAATCAATTTATCATAATTTGATAATTACAAGTTGGAGTTATTGCACAACCACAAATTATATGTCTTCATTTATTATCATAAAAGCTGTCTGTTTTTAATAAAAATAATAAAATAATAATAATAATATAATAATAATAACATTAACTCCCTGATTCCATTTCTATAACATTTGTCAATTAATATATAATCAATCAAGGTGCTTTCCATGTATATAATCTTCTTTTTGGTTTTGCGATCATTAGATTTTCTTCTTGGCAAAATTAGAACATTATTTCTCCTTTATAATTTCTTTGGCTCAAACCAAAGTTTCTTACTACATCTTTGGTCACCCCCTCACCTACTTTGGCATTAAAATCTCCCATAATAATGTTTACAGCATTTTTCTTTGTGATCTTCGTTAGCTGTTTGATCTCTTGGTAGAATTCTTGTACTTCTCTTTCTGGTTTTTCTGCTGTAGGAGCATATACTTGAGTAAAGTTAATATTACGAGGAGTGGTAATAATTTGCAGCATAGCTACTCTATCAGATATAGGTATAAAGTCTTTCCTTTACTGCTTTTCTGGTCAACTATAAATGCCACTCCGTTATAATGATGAGGATCGTTATTACCAGCATAGTATATTATACATAGACTCAATCAAGATTCTTTAGAGAATTTCTTTTTCCAAGTTAGGCATCGAGGTGGTCCTGATGAACATCTTAGTCCATTAGCAGCACTCCACAGAATTCGAATGATACTTCTAGGAAAAATTCTGGTATTTTTGATGCTGCTGTTAACACAGTTGAACAAAGTGTGGATCAATATATTAGTCCAAATGTATTTCAAACTAATCTTTAAATTCCTCAAGAAAAAACAGAAGAACCTGATGAATCTAACAATAGTAGTTCTTTCTCTCCCAAGAATCATCTTCTAATCAGTCTGCCACCTCATATTGTGTTGTCAGTGATTTGCAGGAAACTACAGAAGATGCCTTAGAATACATCTCTGGGTATTTAGCAAAAAAATTTAAAGATAGTTTACCTGATTTAGGTAATTTCACATACAAAGTTAGTGAACATAGTTATAGTTTACCATCATGGGTGCAGCAACTCTCTTATGGAGGTCTTATCAAGCCTACAGATGAGTGGTTCATAAAAATAAAATTATGGAATAAATATTATGAAAAATATATTGATACCTATAGGAAAAAGGATTTTAAACAAAGAAAAAGTGTTGCCATATGCGCTCATTAAAAACTTTTGTAAACTTAGAACAAAAATTAGAATCAATTATAGAAATTTAAAATCCAAGGAAGCTGAAAATTTGAAGCGAAAAAACTTATCCGTGTTGGATTCAACTAGGGTAAAAATTAGAAAATTAAATAAAATTGTTCGGTAGGGAATGTTTCTAAAGTTTCCTAGTATTGTATACTGTTTAGTTTTACCTATGTATGTTTATGAATTAAATAGTTCAGTATTGAATAGTTTTATTTATCATCAAATGTTTTTGGATATTAATTTGTGCTCTGACTACGTAAGTAAAACACGGATTTATAGAGTTTATTTACTTTGAGAGTAAACTAAATTTATTAATTTAATTATAACACTAGCACATGCATTCATTTCGAAAATAAATTTTATTTGCCATGTAAAACAGATCATTAAGAATTTATAAGTCTGAATGTCTTAGGTACTGTTAAAAATCTGATTATCTGCCATCTATTTACAAAAACAAAACGTACATTTTTCGTTTTAAACTTTTTAATCTCCAATTAGGCACATCTTCCCTAAAAGTTAATAGTAACAATAAGGTCGATAATTGCTCGTCATCCCCACACCTACGTCACAACCGCGTTTTGCAGTGACAGACAAATTTGGGCGATGAAACTATCGTGTAGTCAACCGTTCTTGCCCTATACTGTTGCTTCGTAGGTGACGTCATGCGTGTCGGAGTACACATTTTTATTCCTTAAGTAGCAATACCGGTATTTGTGTATCGTGATATTCTTACAAATTGGTTTTTATTTTAGCTGCTCCACAGGATATTACAAAGGAAGTTACCAAACCATTCAATGCTCCCAAAGTACATTTGAAAACTTATACTGGTAAAAGACCTTATAAATGTGAAATTTGTAGTAAGCAGTTCACTTCTCCAAATCATTTAAATATTCATATCAGAGTTCACACTGGAGAAAGACCACATAAATGTGAAATTTGTAGTAAGCAGTTTAGTCACCCAAGTAATTTACGTAGTCATATGAAAATTCATATTGGGAAGAAGCCTTATAAATGTGAAATTTGTAGTAAACATTTTACTATAAAGAATAATTTAAATAAGCATATGAAAGTTCACAGTGGTGAAAAACGTTATAAATGTGAAATTTGTAGTATGCAGTTTATTTACCTAGGTATTTTAAATAGGCATATGAAAGTTCACAGTGGTGAAAAACCTTATAAATGTGAAATTTGTTGGAAGCAGTTTACTCATCTAAATAATTTAAAGTCTCATATAAAAGTTCATTCTGGTGAAAAACCTTATAAATGTGAAATTTGTAGTAAGCAGTTTACTCACTCAAGTAGTTTTAATAATCATATGAACCGTCACGATGGTAAAAAACCTTATAACTGTGAAATTTGTAGTAAGCAGTTTACCTATTTAAGTAATTTAGTTAGGCATAAGAAAGTTCACAGTGGTGAAAAACCTTATAAATGTGAAATTTGTAAGAGGCAGTTTGCTGACCGAAGTAGTTTAAAAAGGCATATGAAAATTCACAGTGGTGAAAAACCATTAGATTAGATTAAGAGAGGTGGCCTTTTGGCCTATTCCACTGCGACCTTTTCAGATCTATTGTGGTCCTCTAGTCCTAGATAACATTCTCTAGCCTGACCCTCTTTATAAAGTCTAGTAGCTTCGAGACCGTACCTTCCATGTAGCTATTTGCCGGTGGATTTTCTTCTCCTAATGCAAAAAAACCGCACATTTGCCAGACTGTCGCACTGACATAAAATGTGCTCTGCTGTTTCTTCTTCGAGGTGACAGAATCTGCACAGGTCATCATCTGATAATCCCATCAGCTTCAAGTGCCTATTCAGCTTACAGTGCCCTTTTAGAAGACCTACTATGGCTTTGACTGTTTTCCTGTTCTGTAATGAACTGTTTCGCCTGTCTTTGTCCTGGTGAATTCCTCCACCATTCCAGAGATTTGTGAGCTACCCACTTCTTTGTAGCCGTTCTTGTTACTGACTTTGCAACGCCGCAGAAGGGTTCCGGTCCAATGAATGGCATTGATGAGCCTTGTTTGGCCATTTCATCTGCTTTTTCATTGCCCTTATGACCCTCGTGCCCCGGTACCCAAGCTACCCTAACCTTGCTAGGGTCTCCTAGTTTATTTAGGGCACACATGCAATCCCATGTTCCAGTACCATGCATCTGGCTGATAATCATATAAGCCAGCTGTCGCATCTGGCTTATATGATTAATCTGTGCATCACTGATCTGGCTTCGCCCTGTATAAAGATATGAAGTAGTGGTAAATTCAACAGGACTTCCAACGATGCAGTAGGAGTTGTTTTTTTGGCCTCCGTAATACACAGGCATGCTAGCCTTTGTGTATTACCTAGCAGCCTTATTGCTCCCACTTGCTGCGTCTTTTTCCACCACGTCACGAAGCCATAGGTTATCATGGGTCTAATAACCCTTGTGTATAACCATGGAGTCATTTTGGGATTAAAGGCGGCTGCACAATTGCCCGGGAAGGGGAACGGGAAAAAAGTTAACCTCTACGTAAATCAATGTTTAGATGCACAATAACCGAGAACGAGAGCAGCCCGGTAACGAGAACGGGAAAGTTGCCCATGTTTTAACTTTCTCGTTCCCGTTGTATTCCCGGAACCAATCAGAAAGCAGTATTTAAAATACTGTCAAATGCAAAATAAAAATTTCAATGTAACGTTGAATGTTCGAATAATTAAACTTTGATAGTATACAAGGCAACTATCGAACACAGTGATTAATTAAATCTTGCCCAAGTACTTTCGATCAATAGATCATCTTCAGGGGCATTTCGTCAGTTGTGGCCTATCCGACATGAGTAGAATGTCATACATGTAAATTTGGACATAACAATACAATACACAAAGACAAACAAACACTTCAAAATTTTTAAAAAGGAGAAGCTACATGTTATAATTCTGTCTCTGGCTTCTATATAACATGTAGCTTCTCCTTTTTAAAAATTTTAAAGTGTTTGTTTGTCTTTGTGTATTGTATTGTTATGTCCAAATTTACATGTATGACATTCTACTCATGTCGGATAGGCCACAACTGACGAAATGCCCCTGAAGATGATTTATTGATCGAAAGTACTTGGGCAAGATTTAATTAATCACTGTGTTCGATAGTTGCCTTGTATACTATCAAAGTTTAAATAAAAATTTGTTTACATTTTGAGTGACTTTCTATAATCTAACCCTCTTGGCTAAGCATATTATGTCTTTTACATTAAAAATGATATGACTATGATCTGGGAAAGAAGTAGATAGATAATAAGGGAAAGATGAGACATTGCAAAAACAATAGTTGTTGTTCTATTGCAGAATATTGTAAGCAATGGACATGATGACTATTGCAGCAGCTATTTCAGTTATTTTTCAAGAATAATATTTTATACACATTGGTTACAATAAAAAAAATTAAATTCGGCCCCTTATTAATATATTTTTGCAGCCAAGGTACTGAACCTACATCAGATATTAAATAGTTGGCTAATCTATCCCTTAATCTTGTTACAGCATTTGCAGTCATGTTTGAACCCAATCGAACCGCAGGGGTTAAATTTGTATCAGTTTTTGTATTATTCTCTTTTAATAAAATTAGAAAAAGATTGTTCCACAAAATTTATTTTGAGAAAAAAATAATTAAAAAAAATAATATAAAAATTTTTATTAAAACTTGTTAAAAGTGTCGTCCAAAAATTAAAAATGCATAACGTTTTCAATATGAATCAGACGATTCAGATTGAAAAAAATGATTCTTTCATTTGTGACATACATTCTAAATAGTTTTATTGCATATTAATTTATAACATACTTGCTATGTTACATTTTTAAATAAAAAAAATTAACAAAATTAAGTTGAGTTATCAGTAAGGATTTTTTATGTTTGTAAGATTTTGGTAACCGTAATTAAACTTTTGTATAAAAATTTTGGTTTTAGTTCCTGTACCAACCGCTTTATACATTAAAATGTATTTTTTAAATTTTCTCGAAAAAGTGGTTTTGTTACTTAGACCACTTTAGTTCCAGGATAGCCATATGAGAGTTCACACTGGTGAAAAACCTCATAAATGTGAAATTTGCTCTAAACAGCTTTCTCACAAAATATCTGTAAATAATCACATGGCAACTCATTCTGTAATGAGACAATACAAGTGTGAAATTTGCTTTAAAAGCTTTTCCAGAAGATATGCTTTAAAAATACATGTGAGAATACACACAGGAGAAACGCATTATAAATGCAAAATCTGTAGTAAAAAATTTATGGAATTTGAGATCAGTAGATGTTTTTGTTCTCTTATTACAATCAAGAATTCTGTCTGGTTCCTCAATACTATTCTCTCAGTTTATTAATCTGTTTTATGATATTGTTCCAAAAATAGATTACAACAAAATTTTTTCAAGCAGTTTCACTACGTGTAGTTACATTTTTACTTATTCTTCATTTCCCAGTGTGTAAGTGGTTATATTGGAAGCATAAGGTTCTTCTTCTTGTAGTTCCTTCTCCTATTGGAGGTTGGCTATCATCACAGTTATCCGTACCTTATTGACACCTGCTCTGAAAAGATCTACAGAGCTGTAACTATACTCTTAGGTTTCTTAGCCAGGAAATTTTTCGTCTTCCTATGGATCTTTTACCTTGCATTATGAGCTTTAATATCTCATATTTCGCATCTCTGGTAATGTGGCCTAAATATTCCAGCTTTCTTGTTTTGATGTGCTTTATGACCTCGCAATCCTTTTGTAGCCTTCTTAACACTTCTGCATTTGTAACTCGTTGGGTCCATGGTATTTTTCAAAATCCTTCTATAGCACCACATCTCAAATGATTTTTAACTTCTTTATCTTATACACTTTTAGTGTCCAACTTTCCATTCCATACAACAAAGTCAAGGACATGTAGCACCTTAAGGCTCTTATCCTCAGCTCCAGAGGAAGGTATCGATTAACAAACATTGTTTTCATTTTTATAAATGCTTGTCTTGCAATTTCAATGCGTGTTCTTATTTCTCTACCTTTGTCATTGTTTCCATTTACTCAGGTTCCCAGATATTTGTTGTTATTCACTCTTTCTACTTGTTTTCCTCGATATCTAGCCTTCCTACTGATGTTGCTTAGAAATAACTGACTGGCTTCTTAACGTTAATTTGTAGTCCATATTTTACACTGACTTGATGTAATCTATTTACTAGGCGTTCTAGTGCTTCTAGACTGTCTGCAAAAACAGCGGTTTCGTCTGCGAATCTTATGTTGTTTAAGATTTTTCCGTTTATTGATATACCTGTTGTTCCTGATATTGCTTCCTTAAAATACTCCATGTAAAAACGTTCTATCTTCTCTTCATCCTTATACTGTTGGTGCGTATACTGAATCAAGTTAACTTGTTGTAAGGTTCCATTGGCTTTATTCTTGTAAGTTCAATATCTGTGATATGTTGCTATTATGTATATATCATCCGCATATTCTAGTACTTATAAACTGTTCTAATATAACATTGCTGTGACTTGTAAAGTTTTTTACGGATTAAAAAAAAAACACAAAAACTTTAATATTCATTGTATATTTATTTTAAAAATTGGATATTTGAGCTATTTATAAAAATATCTACAGTTTTCCTCAGTCCACCTCATAATAAATAATCTCAATTTTACACATTTACAAAATATATAACACACATTATTGAACCATACTTAGATTTAGTTCCTTCAACAAAAATACTCCTAATTCTTTAATAACCAACTCTTTTACAGAACCAGTAGATAGGACTAGAGTTAGTAAAGCAACACAATCTTGGGGTTTTATTCTAGAAAGAACTGTAGACATGTGTGAAATGAGCATTGCCTGTTGTCTGGGAGTTAAGTCGTTTCTTATAATATCTGCTACTGATCTAAATTTACCTTTAGCACAAACTGCTGCTGTTGCAGATCCAAGTGTTCCACCTAAAAAAGTATGCTGTGTAATATTTTCAATTCAATAATAGTAACTGAATATACAGTTAAAATATACAATACTAAATATGAACATGAAAAGACAAATAAATTGTTTATTAGACTTGCAGAGACAAATAAATAGGCATGCAATTCTGGCTTACATTCTTAATGCTAGTCCATTAACATTTTATGTTGTATTGTGTTCTCAAACTGTGTCAGGGCTGTTAACCGTTTTTAAAACTGAGACCAGAAGATTACGATATTTCGTTGCCAACCAAGTAACACCATGCAACTAATTTTCTCAACTTTATAGGAGAGCAATAACAAAACAAATAGCAATAGCAAACAAAAATATCATGGACTGATAGAATTACAAATAAAGAAGTACTGGAGAGGGTCTGGTAAAGAAACAGAATAATCACCACATGATAGGACCAGAAAAACTGGAATTACAGGAGTTAAGGAAGAAATCTGATTGGAGACTGATACTCAGGGTTCAAAGAATGCAAGGAGGACTCATGTAGATCGATTGGATTTGTTTTAGAGCAGCAAGTTCAAAAATAGCCATTATGATTGCCACCTCCGTAGGGAGACTGCACTCTAGAAGAAGAATAACAAACAACTTACTTCTGTTGACAACGAACCCAGCAAACCATCCCTCATGGTTTTGGAATGGGAAACAAATGAGATATTGTGGTTGTGGTTAGTTATATGTGGTGTTGCTTTATTGCAATTACAGAAAAATCTGTTGAGATTTTTTCAAATTGAAGTCATTCAGCTATTCTGTGTGAGATTTTACATCAAATGAAACAAAAACTTATCAAAAAATTGAGTTACCTGATGTTACTGGGTTGACAATTATTTATAATTTTTCTTTAAACTATCCTTTATTATTGCAGATTAAAATGGTCTTTATTCTTTTTCGTTATGTACATAAAAAAAGACATAAAGACCACTGTAATCGACCATAAAATCTTTCTTATCATGCTATATACAAATTTAGTATAACATAAAGCTATCTGCTTAACTTTTCTTTTTATTACATTCTTTTTATATTTCGTTTATTTCTCTCTGTGTGTGTAGAGTTTTTGTTTTATAGTTAACCTAAATTAAACCTAGTTAAATTTCAGACTTTTTTATTAGGTCTCTGTAATATCTTCCTACATTTTGAGATTACTAATGTTAAGTTGAGTTAAAAATGTTATAAAAGTGTGCATTTATATTTTATAAATGTATCATTGCAAAAATAGAAATGACATATTCATTGGATTACTGATAATGGAAAACAATCAAAGTTCAAAAAAACTTGTTTTCTTTAAATGTGTTTTTGTTTTTATAAGAGTGATTAAAAATAATGTGAATTGATAACAAGGGCTTCTTATTATACAGATAGGATTTAAAAATTACACTGATGAGTGTAAAAATTCTCCAATCTACTTGATTATATTAGTATATTTTAAATTATGTTAAAACAATGACACTGATATATCACTTACCTATCGCTATTCCAATTGGGCCACCTAATAAACCACCTGCTAGAGCAGCAAAACCAGCTAGCATTCCTGCTTTTAGAGACTCCTGTACAGTAACTTTAAGCTGTTCTTGTTCAGCTAGAATATGACACATTTCTACAATTTCTCTATCATTGAAAATACCTGCCATTGCCATGATTACAGATTACAGATTGTGACCTCCAGAAATCTGATGTAAAAAGGGGTTTCAAGTACTTTTAAAAATCCAAAGGCTTTATCTTCTATAAATCTGTGTTTTACTTGTTGATTTCTGGGAATACCATAGAACTTTATATAATTCGCAATCAGTGATTATCAACTACATAGATGATAGAATCGTTTTTCTGATAATTTGTTTTCTATTTTTACTTTCTTTTTCTTTCACTCTGTTGCATCACTCATCATTTTACTTGATTTTACTTATGGTCAGTGATTGTTTTGGTTTTGCCTGTTTTGATGGTTTTGACACATGACACTACAAATTGCTGCCAACAGTTTAATTTGGTTTTTTGTTTAAATTTAAAATTTAAATCTATTTTTTCTATTTATTTTTTATCTGTTTAGCTAATAGAAAAAATTAAATAAAATTATATAGTATTCATAAAACATGTTAATGTTTTTAAGTGGTTTTATTGTATTTACGAATTACTGCATATTTTTAAATAGTGAAATCACAGAATGAATAACAATTGTTTTAATCTGTGGTAAAATTTAGAACTTTTTTTTAGTGGTTCTATTTTCTTTAGGAATTCCTATAAATCTTTAAATACAAAAAATCTCTTATTTAAGTGAAGATCAGCTACTCAAATAGATGAAGCGAGATGAAGATTTTTTATCCAAAATAAATATACCATACATAACATTTACAACGCTGACTGAAGAAGATTCCTACTTCTGTGGTTCTGTCCATGTTCTGTCTGTGTTGGTTGATCAGCTGTTGATGTCATATATATGTAACCTCAAAGCACAGTTTTAAATGTTTGAATTTTGGATATAAATCCTACTAAAATATGATCATCAAAAACGTATCTAAAAAAATACCTACTACAGTTGTTGTCGGTTCAGCTCTAGCTGGTGGTTTTGGATTAGCTTGCTTAATTAAGTATATATTACAGATTTTCCCATTTCTTATTTATTTTAAAAATGGTTATGCATTTCAGGGAATATGTTGGTGGTCTTAAATATCAAGGAACAGATACGTCTAACGCAGAAGGTAAAGTAATTATTATAACAGGAGCTAATACTGGAATAGGAAAGGAAACAGCATGGGAACTGGCAAGAAGAAATGCAAAAGTATATATGGCTTGCAGGGATATGGCTAGATGTGAAGCAGTAAGTTTATAGTGCTTTGGATTATACTAAATGGATTTAAGAAAAAAACATACATATAATCACATACATTATGCTATGGATATATGATACATTTTCATTAGTTTTTAGGCTAGAGAAGAAATAGTTTTGGACACAAAAAACAAATATGTCTATTGTCGTAGTTGTGATCTAGCATCATTAGAATCTATCAGGGAGTTTGTAAAAAACTTCAAATCAAAAGAACAAAAGTTAGATGTATTAATCAATAATGCTGGGGTTATGAGAACTCCTAATTCAAAAACAAAAGATGGATTTGAGATGCAATTAGGAGTGAATCACATGGGTCATTTTCTTTTGACTAATTTATTATTGGATATGCTAAAGGTTAGTTTAATACATTGATACACAATGCAAATCTCCAAAATAGTATATTATGAATTATAACAGGGTGAAGTGAGTGGAAGGAAAACTTTCAAATACATGCGAGCAAAAAATAAAACATTAAAACTTCAAACAATTACAATAAAAACAATTATTTTATTATTAACAAAAGAAAAATACTTGTAGTATGTTTTTTTATAATTAATTACCATGATATTTTTAGCAATCAGCCCCCAGCAGGATAATAAATGTGTCCAGTGTGGCTCACAAAAGAGGTGAAATAAATAAAGAAGATTTGAACAGTGATAAAAGTTATGATCCATCCAACGCTTATGCCCAAAGCAAACTAGCAAATATATTATTTACAAATGAACTTGCAAAAAGATTAGAAGGTCTGTACAAAATTCTGTATTTGTTATTCCAAATTATTTATTTATTTACGGGATGTCCCCATTTTTACAAAATTAACAAAAATAAAATGTGCTAACCATAATACGAGTACATACTAAAACTAAGTATTAAATAATGATTAAATAATTATTGTTAAACAAATGATTAAATTAAGTAAATTATATTAAATTTCCTGAAGATCTTAATAAAATGAAATGATCTTCATTTGAGTAAGCCCAAGAAGCTAGTGGTAAATTGTAGTCACCAAATTTTAAGTATCGTTATTATCATCATTCAGAATTCTTAGTGAATCCTATAGATATAGCAATGTTTCTACAGCTATAGAGACTGTACAGTTTCATTTAATATTTGCTATTTCTACAATTATATCAAATAATTTGTTTTTCTTCCCTTATTGTCATTTTTAATTCTGATTCTCCAAAATATTCACATTATGGTACCTTGAACATGCATTAAAATGTTCAAAATAAGAACTAAAAGATCCATGAAATGTATGTAATAAATATTTTATCATCATGCTCATGTCACCTGCCTACCAAATAAAACCATACTGTCTTTAACACATATCCAAGAATGTATCTATCTCCTTAAGAATAATTATCAATTTTATTTAATCTATTTTACCTCTTTTGCATTTCCAGGCAACTTGAACAGTAAAATTTAATGTTTTTTAGGAACTGGGGTTACTGCAAACAGTGTTCATCCAGGAATTGTAGATACAGAACTTACCAGACATATGAGTTTCTTTAGCAGCTGGATTTCATCAATATTTCTCAAACCTTTGATGTGGCCTTTTATAAAGAGTCCAAAACAAGGTGCGCAAACAGTAATATATCTTGCTATAGATACGAGAGTCGAAAAAACTACCGGTAAATATTTTAGGTGAGTTCAATATACTCTATAGTTTAATATTTTAAAGTTCAGAGTAAACATCCTATCCTGGATTTTAAATTGTACCTTTTGCTTGAATATATTAACATGTTGGCCATTGATTATATTATATTCTTGTTATATTTTTAGTAACTACGAAGAAACAAGCACAAGTGAGAAAGCAAAAGATGAATCTACCGCTAGATGGCTTTGGCTAACAAGTGCAAAGTGGACCAGGTTATAATTAGCAACTATTATGTATTTTAAATGTCTAATAAGAATTTGACACTTTAATAAAATTGTTTTAATTTGAAACTTTCTGTTTTTTAACCTTCCTTCCAATGTAACATATGCATAACGATTATGAATGTTGAGTTTTTTCTAGGGATTGTATTGCCTTTTTTACGCTGTTTCTCCATCTATCCCTATTATTGAGATTAATTACTCTAAATATTATCTAAATCTTAAAAATTAATTTCTAACCAATGACAAGCGTGACGACACAACACACCCACCGATTAGTGTGACCTAGAAGCTTATCTTTGGAATGAACATAGTATAACTAATTTAGTAATTATGTTTTGCTACATTGAATTGAAAACCGTCTTGATTTGTCATTAGTGTATGTTGTACTCAATAACCAAATTCGGCCATTGACTGAAATTTATACCAACAACGACTTTTTGTTGATTGTCCGGGATATGTTGATTACCTGGTTAAACGATAATAATAATACAAAATGGTCCGAAGGATTGAGATTTATACAGTCCAAGAAAAACACATCTTTTCACAGAGGAATTGGTAGGAGGCCATGTTTGGCTGCTGACAAACAAATGGTTTAGAAGATGCAGACCTTCCGAAAGATGTCCTTGATAAACTACAAAATGGAGAAGACTTGGAAGAATTAATAAATAGCATGGAAAACGAACATGATGATTATTTAAAAAATGGAGAAGAGAGAATCCAGGATTTCTAAAGAATGAATCTTTAGAAATCCTGGACAATAATAACATAAAATGATGAGAGTTCAGTCAACAAAAATTATATGTGAGTCAAATAAAACGTTTTCTTCTATAAAAAGGGACTAATGTTTTGATTCGAGTGCCGGATGTTGATGGAGGTCGATTAACTCCAAGAAATGTATTAGCCATTGTTTCTGAAATTAACAATGATGGCTCATTATAAACTCAGTACTGAGAATGGACCACTGGATAGATTATTTTCAAGAAAATAACTCCTTCAAACCGATTTGCAATTCATGTTTGAATCAAATGATATTAGCAGTAATAAAATACCCTTGCGAACTGTAGCAAATATGCCATCCAAAGGTTTTGGGGTTCTGATCAAGGTTTTCTCAGATGCAACTGTAAAAGGTTTTGTGGCGACAATAAATGTTCCTGTAAACAAAGAAACAAACAATGTGATTCTCTGATCCTTTCCAGCACATCTCTGGAAGAAAAACTAGACAAAGAACGAAAAAAAAACAATTGAAGTTAGTTGAAAAGCCACTAGAAACCAAAAACCACCAAATAAGAAAAAATAAAACAAATGAAAAAACGAAACGTAATTCGATTTTTCTTCTTCAGAGAGTTCAGTAGAAATACCTTATTACGACAGTGATAACGACATAGATCCAGAGAATGAAGAAGACGACAAAGCGTGTTTGGTTTGCAATGAAGAAGGCAAAAAGAACCAGTTCTGGTTTCGATGTGACTGGTGCTCTAAGTGGGATCATTCTGAATGCAAGGATCTAAACTTAAAAGAAGCGAAAGCCAGAGTATGGGTGTGTAACTTTAGTTACAATTAGAATTAAGAAAAACACTCTTTTTGCTAACTTATAACTGTTTAGTACTCGATTAAAGGACTTTTCTTTCTTCTCTTTTGCATTGTTTATGTTATAATTTGTTTTTTGATTTAAATTTATATTTTTCGATAAAGTAGTTATTTTTTTTTTTCGTCAACTTACCCGATACAGTTAGTTTTATCAACGATTGTAGGTAAGATGACGATGATAGCATCTTTTTTTTTTAATTATATAACAAAAAATGTGTTTAGCTGAAGCTATGTTATTTTGTAAGTTGATTACTGTGACAAGTAGAGTTCAAAATATTAACAAATAAATATTTTTAATTGGGGAAAAAAGCGTAATTTGGATATTAGCCTTAAATTCACCAACTTACCCCTCTTTCCCCTACTCCTTTATGTCCAAAAAAAAACCGAAAAAATAGGGAACAATTTTTTAGAAGCTTAAAGTAAACTTTTTCCGTCGACCGTCCATTTATGATCAATTTTAACACCAAAATCATTCATTAATGACCCCTAATGAACGATTTCATTATAGGCAACACAACATACATTGCTTGCATAAATTAATTAAACGCTCTGTGATTGGCAGTGACCTGTGGTGTAGGCAAGCAAACATTATACTATTTATATTCCCACTAAAACATTTAAAATGAAGTAACCGCTGTTAGTACTAATCTGTCATTGTATGTCATTATTTACTTTATTGTTTAAAATTCTGTGTATTTGAAAAATCAAAAGATAGATATTGACGAAGAGTTTAATTTAACTCCACCAAAAGTAGGCAGAAACTGTAAATGAAATATCTTTAAGTTTACTGCCTGAAAAAAGCGGAGTGTTGTACGAAAAAACATACGCTGAATTTATTGCATGGTGTGACGAGAGAAAAATAATACGATATTCAGAATCTGTATTGTTGACATATTTTTCAAACATTGTCGAAAAAGAACTAATAACAAGTTTGTGTCCCAAATATTCGATGCTAACCCCCTCTGTGGCTCAGTGGTAAGAGCGCCTGCCTTTAAATCTTAAAGGTCGTGAGTTCGAATCCCACCTGGGTGGAAATTTTCGTTTATTAAAAAAAATTAATAAATGAAAATAATTTCTATCTCGCTCTCGAACATTAAATAACTATTAGTGCTGTAAAATGTTATCTCTTTTATGTCATTAGACAACTTATTATTATGCATTAAAAATATGCAACCCCATATATAATAAAATAAAAAAATATATAGGACCTACCTTTATAAAAAATCCTACTCCATTTCAAACAACAAAAACAAATTGTTTTTATCCAAAACTATATAATTTTGGATTCATTTTTGTGGATAAGCAATTGAAAAAATAAAACAACCATTACTATTCTGAATATTTATTACGGACCTGTAAAAAACTGATGCGTTTTGTATTGGTTAAACTCCGGTAACTGTAACGTTTCATTGGCTTGTCTAATATCACCTTGTATTGCTTCCATGAGTGCATCCAACGATTCAAAATTCTTCTCCTGTCTAAGATAATCCAAAATGACAATACGTACTTCCTTTCCATAAAAATCCGAATCAAATTTATGCATTATATGAACCTCTACCGCTTTAGTTTTGTTATTGTAAAACGGGTTCCAACCGACGCTCATCACCATCTTATAAACTTGACCGCCCTCAACAGAAGCGAATCCACAGTACACACCGGTCTCAATTTTTTCCGGCAGGTTTTTGACCACTTCTAGTGGTAAATTTGCCGTCGGGCATCCTAGCTCTTTGGAACCACGACCGAAGCCCTTTACAACTTCACCTCGAGCAAATGTGGCAACCCGTCAATTTTATTTCCAGCCATTATAACTGAAAACGTTAATATACTCTTTAAAATGTATAATCTACAACTTAAAATTTTTTATTATAATAATAATCACGCGATATAATAATACCTAGATAAAAAATCACGGAATCATATACCGTAATCAATTATGATATTTACAATTATTTACAGAAACGATGGCAGTGGCGTCTCAATTCAGGGATAAATAAAGATTTTTTTTGTAAATTAAGGTTTTGTTAAGCCAAATAAGAGCAGTGTCTTAATTATCGAGCAAAAAAGACAAAAGAGGGAATGTGAAGGTAGGGACAAAACTATTGTTAGACAGGAAGTGCTATCACAGTATAGACAACACTGTGGTGCTATCTTGAGAGTCCACTTTAAACAAGGAAAGACAGCCTCTTTCCTTGTTTAAGAAATCAAATTTAGTTTGGTTATGTTATTGTTTGTCACAACTGTCACATGAAATTTTATTTATATTGAAGTTTTTTACCAATTTTGTCACTTTTAAGACTATTATCGTAAATATTTAATTAAAACTTTCTTATCTGAAAAATATTTTATAGCTATTGTTAATAAGTGTCGGAAAATTTAAATTTAGCGCCTTTGCATTTCCGGATACGTCCGCCATCAGAGGCCACTTTTTTGGTCTCCTTTTCATAACGATTAGATTCCCTCTTTTGTCTTTTTGTTCGATGGTCTTAATAAGGCCAATTGTAAATATTTCCTTAAATATAGTTATTATATACTAGATGTCACTGTAAACCGCTTTCCCAGTCAAAATCGTAAATCGTCTACGCCATTCAGTCGGTAGCATCAAACCTCTGGGCGCCCGGCGAAGTATACTAGACACGTGTTTACTATGGTGCCGAAGTTCGGTTATAAATTTTAGGTAAGTTATAAAAGAAGAAGAACGGTGTTTAGTTCTGAATGTCGGAAGTTATTTCAATTTGGAAAAAAAAAATAACATGGGTCTATTGACATCTGTTATGGCAGTTCAGAAACGCACATGCGATGCTTGCGGTATCTCAAAAAGGATATTTCGAAGAATTAATACCATGAGTGAGGATAAAATAAATAAAGTAAGCAAGAGAAATCGACGACATCCAAAAACTTTAAATTTGCACCAGTCGATTAAACTTGCAATTAAAAATATTATATATAATATGTATAAAGCCAAAGAACATATAACAATTAGCGCTGTTACAAAAAATAAAAAGACAATTCTTTAATTTAAGGTGATATTAGTTTAACAAGTTTATGGAGAGTGCTGAAACATTTAGGTTTTCGATATAAAAAGACAAATAATAGACAAGTATTGTATGAACTCTCTAATGTTGTTTCAAAACGGTAGCATTTTTTAAGAAAATACATGAACGTATGTTAGTTCGAGGCAAGTTGTATTTTTAGATGAAAACTTGATTTTGCTAAAGGAAATATGTCAAAATCATCCTGGCAAGTAACAAAAAAGTGTTTCGGGAATTCAATTCGGACTTTGTGGTGTGTTAACGATAAAGTACCTTCGGTCTAATTACTGGACTGTATACTCTCAATAGCTTTGCTATTAATGACTGGACTAAACGTGTTTAACATTTTGTTTTGCTGAATACTCGGAAGTGATTTAGTGCCAGTTTGTTTCAAGGTTATATTTAATACAGTGTCCGCAGAAAGTAAAGTCTTGGATGTATTTGATTCAAATTTTGACATTTCAGCAACTTGGCAAGTATTTTCCAATTTAACTGCATGCAAAACCATTCGTATAATTTTCACTCTACGCAAAATAGAGACTTATAGAGACCTTGATGAACATTTGATGTCGACAAATAATTTCAATTATTCGAAATATTCCGTCTCACTTCTTTTAACACGCCCTGTACATACATATTATATTTATTTTATTTTCCTTTTATACAGTAAAATCCAATATTATTACTGAACATAAAATACTGGAAATTAAATACTTTTACTTTTAAAGCGATCGGAATTACATATTAACGCCCCACTGATCATATCTTAATTACACATCGGATAAATATCAATATAATATCTATACCGATGGAGTGTTCCGCGTTTCACTTTCACTATTTGGCTCACTATGCTTTAGTCTATTCTTATTACGTCTATGTCCAAAATACTGCAAGTTACTTTTGCTCCGGATCTACTTGATGGATTTTGATACATTTTTTTCGTGTGTACGTTTTGCGTACATTTCAAATATGCAATATTTTAATAATAATATTATTAATAAATAAACAATGTAATTTGTTTAAACAGTTAAACAATATATTTTTCCAAAAAATTCTATATTAGGTATATTAAATTTTTTATTATACTCTAAATTAATTTTCTGCTGTATAATAATTCTTTGTCTTTAAAATAATAGTATATTACTTATGAGGCGGAGAAGCATGACTTTTCTTGACGCGCTTATATTACGCCCCGAACGAAGTGAGGCGCGTAATAGGGGGCAAGTCAAGAAAAGTCGCTTCTTTGCCGAATAAAGTATACTATTTTTTCTTCAAACGTAGCAATTTTCAACCATTTTACCAAATAGTACAATTCATACGCTATTTTTACTCGAAATTAAACTGTGACAACTATCAAAGTCGTCTAGATGTTAGAAATTAAAATAATTAAGTCGTCGGTGGGATTTGCGTCTCCCTGGTTACAGTTGTTTGACAGTTGTTTGCAATTATTAAAGACAGCTTATTGTTGTTCGCAAGCCGCCAACATCGGGAATGATTGCTGAAAGTTGTTCTCGACCATCAGTATCATCAACAATTACCAATGCGTATCAAGAGTTGGGAACATTTTTGCACGGTTTCAATTTTGAAAATGCCTCATTAACTAATTGTACTTTTAATATTACTATAAATAAAAATGATGTTTAATTGTTGTTAATGACATTTGTATTGTTGCTTTGTGACATGTTTCATATTGTTGCCATGGCAACATTTTTCCCTCCGCCGTAAAGAAATGGGAAAAAAAACTGCTGCCGGCGGAGACATCAAACTTTGACAGGATCAAGTTAGATAATGTCATCATTATTTGCCGTTTGAAGAAAAACTAATTACCTAGTTTTCTATTTAATATAAACAAATTAGCTGGGAATTGAAAAATAATTATTTTTATCTAATGGTCCCAGAATAACTTATTATTTCTTTCAAATTTATGTGAAAATTATCAGCCTTTTGAATATGAAATAAGTTATCTATGGGATAAGGTTAAAAAGTTATTATATTTGTTTATAAATTAAAAGTAACCGTAATTTTGCGGAAGGTTTTGCATTGTAAAAGATTGTTTTCCTTTTTTGCTACATATTGATGGTTTAGCTCCTCAGAGTGAGGAATTTTACTCGTGTAAATTCCCTACTCTAAGTTTAGCTCTTAAACTTTCATTTGGTATGTGTAAAATTACCGTATCTACATTATTTACTGACTAATGTTATTTCTAAAAAAGGTCTCTGGTATAAACAAATAGAATAACTCTGAAACTAATTGATAATTCGATCTGAAATTTTGAGGGTTTGTTAGTAATGACCACAACACGCAACTTTGGGCGAAATAACAAATGTCTATTTTACAATAGGTATAAACAATTTTGCCTTATTTTGCAGTTTTGAAAGCAACAAATTAATTTTACATCTTTTAGCAATCGCAAATTTAAAGAGTTTTTTGTTTTAAAAGATAAAGTTTGTCAATTTTGCCTGAAATATTGAGCTTTTAATGGTAAGAAAAATCTAAAAGATGACATTTTTAAACTAAATTGTTAATAATTTTAAAAAAAGACGCCGAAATCTCTGCAGAAAACGTATAGATTTTTTTATATAGGCCTATAATACTCCGCCTGCATTACCCACTAGGTGGATCGAGTAGCTTGGTGGGTGATGTTGCCGGTCCCAAGCCCGGATAAAGGAGGAGGGTTGTAGGGTTAGGTTAGCAGCCTGCCATATATAAAAATAAAAAAAAGCTCAAAGAACCGGTGACGAGCCTCGGACTAGGACAGAAAATATGGTAACGACAAAGGCGAGAAAAAGGACGACGAACTGGAAAACGAAAAATATAATGAGAGTGGCGACGTGGAACATAAAAAGCCTAAATAACCGAGATCAGGAAATAGAAAAAGAGTTGAGAGAATATCAAATAGATATCTGCGTCCTACAGGAAACAAAGAGGAAAGGTAAAGGACAGACGCGGCTTGGAGAATATTTACTAATATATAGTGGGGTTCCGAAACAAGAAAGAGCAAAGGAAGGTGTAGCAATAATGATCAAAACAAAATATAAAGATCAAATTAAAGAGTGCCAGTACATATCTCAGAGAATACTTTTAGTAAAAATTAGGGCGAACAGCAAAATTATTAACATAATAGGGATATATGCACTAGAAGACTGCAAACCTGACAGCGATAAAGAAGAATTCTATGATGAGCTACAAACATTAGTGGAAAGAGAAGTGAAGCAAAATGAATTACTTATATTATTGGGAGATTTCAATGCCAGAATAGGAGACGAAGTAATACCAGGAATAAAACAAAGGTTTAACGAAAGAGTTATCAATGAAAACGGAAAAAGAATGGTGGAATTCTGCACATCAAACGAACTAGAATAACCAACACATTGTTTGATCATAAAATTCAACACAAATACACGTTTGAAAATACAAGAGGACATAGATCAATGATAGATTATGTGGTCACAAACAGAAATATTCACCATAAACAGATAGTGGATGTGAGAAGTTTGACGTCACCCAATGTGGGAAGCGATCACTATTTGGTACTTGGTAAAATTAGATTCAATGAAAGATGGAAAGAGAAGCTTAAACAAACCAATTCAGAGGAAATAATAAAAATAGAAAATTTAAGAGATGACTCCATAAAATCATTATATCAAAAAAGGCTAGAACAGAAAATACAAATGGAGAATATCGAAAATGAAAGCAATGTAGAGACTAGCTGGAGAAAACTTAAGAAAAATATTCTGGATGCTGCCCGAGAAGCCCTTGGAACGAAAATAATAAACAAAAAGTGGTCAACGAAAACACCATGGTTTACACTAGAGGTTAAACAAAAATGTCACCAAAAAAAGAAAGCTTTCCTAAAATATAAGTCAGAAAAAACGAATGAATCATATGAAGAATATAAAAGAATAAGAACTGAAACTCATCAATTGGTAAGAAAAACAAAAACAGATTACTGGGAAAGATTCACAAAAGGACTAGAGATGGATTTCTATGGACAACAGAAACAAGTATGGCGCTTCATAAGACAACAAAGAAGCGAAATGAAAGAACTAGTTGAAATAGAACACATACAAGAGGATACATGGGTGGCCTTCCTGACAGAAATGTTTAAAAAAACAAAACGAAGAACCTTTACCAGAAACGCCAAATATAATAACTGAGGAAAAGACCGAAATCTCCCAAAACGATGTGAAAGAAGGAATAAACAAATTAAAAAACAGAAAGTCACCAGGAGAAGATCAAATACCAAATGAACTCTTAAAATATGGAGGTGATTACCTTGTACAACAACTGCAACTTCTTATTAATAAAATAATCACCACGAACAGAATACCAGATGAATGGAGGAGAGCGATCATGGTGATGTTCTTCAAAAAAGAGATAAGAAAGACCCCAATAATTATCGAGCAATAAATCTTTTAACCCTTAAATGCCCAATCGGGGTCACTCGGGGGTCAATCGGGGGCCCAGACATACATTTTTGGCTATAATATCTTTATTTGAAACATTTGGCAACCGCGCAATCAGGTATTTGTGTGGACGTGTCTCCTACGTTTTCTGTTAGTATACCACGAACATTCGTGAGGTGCAGTGGTCTGTAAGAGAGATTTAGATAAGTGGGGTCTCGCTGTGACCCGATTGGGCATTTAGAGGCACCAGAATATTTTTATTATTTTTAACATTTTTCGTCAGTTTACATTGAAAAATGGACCGTAAGAGAATGAAAATGACAATAAGCGACCAAGAACATGAAAAAATTATCCGAAATATAGAAGAAGGGATATCAGACTCCGATTTCGACTATGAGATTACCGACGAATCAGATAGCGAAGAGCAAGATGTTTTTGAGGAAAATGTTTCGGAAACTGAGGACAATTTAGAAGTCAACAGTGACGAGGAATCAGATGCAGAACCTACCGAAGTGGACGATAATATTAGTGAGGTTAGTGGTCCAACATATACATCCAAATCTGGAATGCAGTGGAATAGCCTACCTTTCGTGAGATCCAAGAGGCAACAAAAAAATATTATAAATGTACATCCAGGCTTAACAAACTATAGTAAAAATTCCAACACGTTTTTAGACTATTTCAATTTATTTTTGACCGAAGAGATGAAGAATGTCATATGCCTTCATACTAATGAAGAAGCTGTTAGGCGTTATCAAGAGTGGAACGAAAAACATCCGAATAACAAAAAAGAGTGGACGGTACTTACCAACAATGAACTGGATAGCTTTTTAGGAGCACTTATCAAAGCTGGTGCTTTAAGGTGTGGGAAAGAATCGACACGAGAGATATGGTCTACAGACACCTCAATACGCCGGTCATTTTTTACAGCCGCATTAGCTAGGAACCGATTTGAAGAATTATCGAGTTTCTTGAGGTTTGATGACAAAGTGACCAGGGTGGAGCGGAAGGAACAGGATAAGTTAGCGGCGATACGAGTAATTTGGGACATGTTCGTCTCTAACTGTGACAAAGCCTTTGAACCATACGAACATATAACCGTTGACGAACAGTTAGTGAGTTTTAGAGGAAAGTGTCCTTTTAGACAATATATAAAATCAAAACCTTGCCGCTATGGGATAAAAATTTGGGCTGCCGCGGATGTTAAAACATCTTATTTATCAAAACTTCAGGTGTACCTTGGAAAACTACCAGGTGGTAGAATAGAGAAAAATCAGGGATTTCGTGTTGTGAAAGATCTGGTGGAACCATATCATGGCAGTTGGAGAGGAATTACAACTGACAACTTTTTTACCAGTGTTCCTCTTGCTCAATATCTTTTATCTAAAAACCTTACTTTACTTGGGACCGTCCGCAAAAATAAACCTGATACACCACCACAACTAAGTTTGACAAAAAGACCTGCGGAGTCGTCAATATTTGCTTTTACTAAAGAATTAGCTATGGTTTCGTACATACCTAAAATACACAGGATGGTACATCTTCTTTCAAGTCAACACGATAGTGATATAATTTGTCAAGACTCTCAAAACAAACCCTTGATGATTTTAGACTATAATAATACCAAGGGTGGTGTTGATAATGCCGACAAACTGATTAGGGAATATTCCTGTAAAAGAAGAACTGCTCGTTGGCCATTCAGGCTCTTTATGAATATTATAGACATATGTGCACTAAATGCCTATATTTTATACATTGAAAAAAATCCTGATTGGAAGAAAAATAATTTTTCACGAAGACGTATTTTCCTGTTACAATTAGGGGCTGAGCTTGCTCGAAACAACATGGAAAAAAGAGCGAAATATATAAAACATAAAGCCTATGTAAAATCTGCTCTAAAAGATTGTGGCATACCAATGGTAAACCCAACTACCGAAGTTGCAACTCAATCCGTCCATTCAGCTAAGAAACGTGCTCGTTGTTACCAGTGTCCGCGAAACTGTGACAGAAAAGTGAATACCGTTTGCTCTTTTTGCAAAAAATTTATATGCCAGGTGCACAGAAAAGAAGAAAAAACTATTGTATGTAAAAATTGCAACTAAAAGTTATATGCTTATATTATTATTTAATTTTAATTTTGTTCGAATTGAAAAGAATTTGTTTCTAGAAAAGCCGTTAATTTTGTATGAAAAATAAATAAAAATTATTCAAATATGCTTAAAATTATTTTTAACCGTGTTTTCCTTTTAGTCAGTGCTAAATGACGTTACTAAATTGAAAATTTTAGTGGGGTCCCTAGGAGACCCCACATGGGCATTTATGGTTATTTTCATATCACGGGCATTTAAGGGTTAAATACAACACTACATAGCGACAAAAATAAATGAACGAATATCTCTGCAAGAGGAATAGCAAGGATTTCGGACAGGAAGATCATACACGGATGCAGTTTTTGTAATAAGACAAAAGAAAAGTCGCTGGAATGCAACAAACCAGCATATACCTATGTGTCTGATAGATTTGAAGAAAGCGTAGAGTGAGAATTCGGGACGCGATACATTTAATATGAAAAGGGAATATCACTGGATTTAGTAAAAACCATTGAAAATATATAAAGATAACATAGCTATGGTAAGATATAAAGGAAACTAGCATAAGACAAGGAGATTCGCTGGTTACAACATGGTGATCTCAAGAGAGACAACTAAAGCGATAGTGATATCAGCGGAACCGAGAGGATGTAAACTAGTCGTAAATAACAGAATAATAGAACAAGTGATCAAAACTGAATACTTAAGAATAAAACTGTCAAGCTACGGAAAAGTGGAAGAAGAAGAACAAAAACAAGTGAACATGGCAAACAGAGCAGCAGGATGTGTCAACAACACAATCTGGAGAAACAAATACTTCACAACGGAAACGAAAAGCAGGATATATAAATCAACAATAAGACCGATAATGACGTACACAGCGGAAACAAGAGCAGATACGGCGAAAACACAAAGACTGCTGGAAACAACAGAAATGAAAGTCTTACGAAAAATAAGAAACCAAACTCTAAGAGACACAGTAAGAGGTGAGAAAATACGAGCGAGATTTAGTATAGAAGAAATAAACGCGTGGACCAAAAGAAGAAAAGTGGAATGGAATCAACACATCGAAAGAATGACAGAAAATAGAATAGTACTAATAGCAAGAGACAAATCGCCAAATGGAAGAAGATATATTGGAACGACCGAGGAAAAGATGGTCAGACAACGTCAATTGAGGCTAAAAACCGAAGTAAAACAGGCATTAAGCCTATTATAAAGTAGGAAGAAGAAGAAGAAGCCTATAATAACTAAAAACAATTCAGATACCTGGATTTGTCACAGTCCCGAGAGAAATCTTATTTCCATGAGCTATAAGCTCCACGTCTCCTTACATTACTACTAAGGATATTATTGAATGCTAAGTACTCTTTACAAACAAGTGACGCCACTGATTATCAAAAACCTGATATTGACCTTAAAAAATTACATACCTAAATGATATTTGTTTATTAAATACTCAAGTCATTATAGAATAAAAATTACACGTAAAAAACGAAAAGAATTGTCTTAAATTTACATTACGTATTACACTACTAATTATACTTTTAAATAAAAAACCAAGGTTTATTTTACTTACCTGCATTAACGCGTTCAACGACGAAGCGAGAATCACCCAATACGAATACGAATCGCCAGAGTTCACTTCCTGAAAATAGCAGGAGAGAAAGGCCAAAAAAGACATGGTCGGAGACAAGTTGACGAGGCACATTTGTGGAGGGGATAATATTCTTAATTATTTTGCTTAATTAATGTTGTTTGACGTTTATATCATAGGACAGAAAGTAATTAACGGTACAGCATTATGCTTTTGCGCTGGTTTGAATTTAAAGAACAGCCAGAATTTTTCGAATATGAGGCAGATTCTAGTTCAGCTATATCTCCATCAGAGGTGCATTGAGCTAATGAATTCTTCCTTTGATTCGGAAACACTCTTTTGTCCTTACACTTAAGTTGCTTATCGTTCTTTCTTAGCATTCCACTATTAGTGGAAATCAAATACGATGGAAAAGTGGAAGGAAACTATGGAAATATATAATTTGAAGGTAGATATAGGGTGCAGTCAGAACGATATCCACATATCATTTATACACACTCACACACACACACACACTCTTATTCTTATTTTCCTTCGATTTTACCCTTCATAATTAGCTGCAACAACTCGTGCTTATAATTCTTAAGTATGTGCCCCAAATATGCTGTCTTTTTGCCTTTTAATGGTGGTCAAAAGTTATCTGTCTCTTCCCTTCCTGTTGCAACACCATTTTGTTCGTAATATTATTGGTCCATGGTATCTTTAAAATTCTCCTAAAAAGCCACATCTTAAAAGCTTCCAGTTTTCTCATTAGGTCAAAGTTAACAGTTCCAGGACACCATAAAGAAGAATAGAGTGGATATGACATTTTACCATCCGATATTGCATTTGCAGATTGAGTCTTTGGTGTCTCAGAAATTTCCTCATCTTCAAAAGGCTGCTCTTAATTGCTCTATTCTTGAGCGAATTTCTGATTTCTGATTCAGATCTTCCGTAATCCAGACTGCTAAGTATTTTATTTTGTCCACTTGCTCAATATCTTCATTTTTTATCTGGATCCTTGTAATGACTTTGCCCCTCTTACTGATAACCATGGTTTTTGTTTTCTTTAGCGTCTTTATAGCGTCAGCATAACAGATGTTATTTATATTTCCACCATTTATCTTGATCCCTTCTGTACAGTTTTCAAGTGCTTGCGTAAATAACTCTTCGGAATATATATTAACTAATAATGGTGAAAGTACACAGCCCTGTCTTACTCCTGTACTTATCTGTTGCGCATCCGTGCTATTTCCATCTAATGTTACCACAGTCCTTTTTGTCGAGATTTTGTAGGAATCATTGTAAACAGATAGTACATGTAAGTTTTTTCTTTATAATTTTGTGTTTTACAACTATTGATTAACCACTGGGTGCATGGCGCACAATGGGTGTGCGTTATGTAGCTGAAGAGAGAGGGTGAAAGGCGAGTTTCTAGCGCCTTAAAACTGGAACATATCGGCTATGGGAATAAACCCTGACAGAAAATTGGTCTTCAACCAGGTTAGCACCCTACTGTAGGACTATAAACCAGCCAGCTCAAAGAAACAGGTTAATGCCTCGGAACAGGACTGAATCTACGACGATGACCAATGCGAGAAAAAGGACAACGAATTCATGGAAAACGAAAAACATACTCCGAATCGGTACTTGGAACGTAAAATCCTTGAACAGCAGAGAACAAGAAATTACCAAAGAACTAACGGAGAAAAATATAGATATATGCGCACTCCAGGAGACCAAGAAAAAAGGAAAGGGTCAAATTATGCTAGATAATTACTTGTTGATTTACAGCGGCGTGGCAAAAGAAACCAGAGCTAAAGAAGGAGTAGCCCTACTTTTACACAAGAAATTCATTGACCAAATAGAGGATTGTAAATACATTTCACAAGGAACAGTTTACGTAAAACTCAAACTAAATGATCAGCAAATGATGTTAGAACCAGAAACACCAGAAATCATTACAAACGAGGAAGTCGAGATAACCGTACAAGAAGTAAAACAAACATTAGAAAAATTGAAGAACAGAAAAGCTGCAGGTAAAGATGGAATTCCAAATGAATTATTGAAATATAGTGGAGAAGCATTAACAGAACAGCTAACAGCACTAATTAACAAAATCATCAAACATAATAAAATACCTGAAGAGTGGAAGAAAAGCGAGCTTATCCTACTATACAAAAAAGGAGATAAAAAACAACCTGAAAACTACAGAGGTATCAACTTATTAAACACCACTTTGAAGCTTACAACCAAAATGTTGCAAGGCCAAATAAATCAGAGAATTACCTTAGCGGATCAACAGCAGGGTTTTCGCACAGAAGATCGTGCACAGATGCAGTATTCATCATAAAACAGCTTACCGAGAAAGCACTAGAGTATAACAGACCAGCATTCATATGTCTAATAGACCTGAAGAAAACGTTCGATAAAGTAAAGCTTAAAGATGTAATTCACCTTCTTTACGATAGAGAAATTCCACTAAATGTTATAAAAACAATAGAGAACATTTACCAGAACAACAATATAGAAGTCAGAATAGATGACCAGCTTACAGATCCAATAGATATGGGCAATGGAATAAGACAAGGAGACTCGCTTAGTTCAACGCTATTCAATCTAATCATGGATGAAATCATCAATACTATTAATAAAGGAAGAGGATACAAAATGGGGAACAAAGAAATCAGAATACTCTGCTATGGCAGATGATGTCGGCCCTAATTGCATCCAATGAAGACGATCTACAAAGACTAACCCATAGATTCAACACAAGGGTAAAGGACTTTAATATGGTGATCTCTACACAGAAAACTAAAACAATTGTAATCAGTAAAGAAACCAATTAGATGTAAACTGGAAATCGACGGTATCATCATTGAGCAAGTAATGGAGACAAATTACCTAGGAATTACACTGTCTAGCTACGGAGATGTGGAGAAGGAAGTGAAAAATCAAGTACAAAAGGCTAATAAAATAGCAGGTTGTCTTAATAACCCGATATGGCGCAATCCCCACATTAATACCGACGTGAAATCAAGAATCTACAAAGCAACAATAAGACCAATAATGACATACACTTCAGAGACAAGACCGGATACCTCCAAAACTCAGCAACTACTAGAAACAGCGGAGATGCGTTTACTGAGGAGAATTACAGGAAACACACTGAGGGATCGAATGAGGAGTGAAGAGATCAGAAGAAAATGCAATATACCAGAAATAAATGAGTGGACACTGAACAGAAAAAAGGAATGGAACGAACACATAAACAGAATGGAAGAGACCCGATTAGTCAGAATAGCGAGGGACAAATCACCAAAAGGTATAAGAAGTATCGGGCGACCACGCAAAATATGGAGTGATAACCTCCAATAGAGGCATTAATCGACATTGAACAAGCATTTTGCTTATAAAAAAGAAGAAGACAACTATTTATTATAGTATAATTTTTTTGTGCCATCTGTATTTTTGTAACTTTTTGTTTGAGACAAAAATAAATGTTTGATTTGTTTTCTCTGGTTATTTTGTTTAGAAAAATCTCCTAACCTTTTTTTTGCGTGCATACTTTTTTTAGGAAAGAAGAGCCTTTTTTTTTCTTCAGCAAACTAGGATCCTTCGAAGCGGCGCCCGTCTCTTAAATTACTGGAAGCCCTTTTTTGTTGTCTTTACTGCCCAGTTATCCAGGAGATTTATGTAAGTACCCTTTGTTTCGTTTTGTAGTTACCCCAATACGACCACTTTGATACGACCACTTTGATTCGACTTATTCACGACCCAGCTCTCCTAACAAACCCTGACTGCCGTTCGCATTGATTATTTTGCTTGCCCTATCTCTACCCCAGTAGTTTCTGTCCCCAATTTTCTACCCCCATGATCTTACCCTATAGGTAGGCAAAATATATCGTTACAAAATAAAAGAATATGAGAAAAGCTTGCCAAATTATATTTTTTGTATAGACACTGCAATATAAATCATTTCATTTCACATTACGTAGGATTCAAACCTGTAAATATATATAAAAAAAACTTATGTTTTCAGTCTCGTTAAGAAAACATTAAATAAGTCTTGTAAATACTACATCTACTTCTGTAGAGATATTTTCGATGTACACTCTGTCTCATATTTTTCTGTAAATGTGAAATCTTCAGTTTTACATTCGACAACTTTGCACGAAGCTTCGTAAAGAGATTTGCAAGCTGTTAAGTCGTTGACGATATCTGCAGGCTCTTTAATCTCACAGTCGCTGAAATTATATAAAAAAAAGTAAATCAATAATTGTGTAGTAAAACTAACGCATATTCTCAAAAATAGCATAATAAACGATTATAAAATAATATTCTCAAACCGAATAATATTCACGCGAGATATGTTTTGAACTAGACATTTTTAGTAGAAGTCTATTTTTTTGCTAGAATCTTTTGCTATTGCTACGATAAATTCTGACCCAAAACCGTAAACATATTTATTACTAATATTCTCATTCATTCACGAATTTTCTAGGTAATACCTACCTGACAGACGATGGGTTCCCCTCCGCTATAAAAACAACAATCGAGCTTTCTGGAGACGAGCCGATATAAAAATAGCAGTTTTTAGACCAGTCGTCGCGCTGTTTAAGTCGAGAATGCCATCGAACCTTCGACGATATCCCACTTTAGCAATGGTTTCATATAAATAACGGGGATTTTCATTGGGGAAGTCAGTCAAAGAAGATCGCGATCGCGTTTTAAAATGTAACGCACGTATAGATAAAATTATGTAATTATTAGTCAAATACATTGTTGTACAGTGGTTTAATAAATTGATATAAATTATCGTGTTTTAGTAAATTAAAATAAGAACAATAAATTAGAATTACATAATAAAAAACATTATACTATCTTGTATCAAGTTACAGTCAAAATTAATTGGTTCAAAAGAGTTCAAAATCATTGGTGCCCTCCAAAAAATTCCATTTTCTCCGCCATTTTTTTTAAATCGTTGTTTCGAACGATAAGGACAGGATTTCAAATATGATATTTTCAAATACGTAAGGGAAACGGAGGTAAGATGACGAATTATTGGTATTTTTTGAACGTACAACTCTGGCAAGTCTGTCTTCAGTCAGGACCGAACACATGTTCCATGTTTCTCACACAATACATTAGCGGCCAGAGTTTAGTATGATACAAGTATTGGTACCAGAGATATGTAACTCTCTTTTAAATCAACTGTTGGTAAAAACATTATTACTTCCGAAAATAAGGTTTTAAAAGATTTAGGTAAGTATTGGTTAACTCGATCTCAAAAAATATGTCAAGAAATTGGATAAAAAGTGTTCAAAATAGAGCACAATGGACAAAAATGAGGGAGGCCTATGTCCAGCAGTGGACGCAAAGGGCTGGGTGATGATGATGATGATTGGTTAACTGTTGTATTTTTTTAACCTAATATTTTTTACTAATAAATTACTTACAGAAAATATTTGTTATCAATAATAAATTTGACTTTATTTGATTTTTAGAAAACAAGATGACCCTTGTGGGTAAGTTGACGAGTTATTCATTATCTTACTCGAATTTGCTAAACTTAACAATAAGTTATACCCGTTTTTTAATTTCAGATTTAAATATGGGCAAAATATACAAAAAAAATAGCGACGGACAATCTTGGTCGAAAGAAAATAGTATGAAAAGAGCAATGGCTGAAATAATTGCTCAACAGTTAAGTATTAACTGCAGCCCTCAAAAGCATATCATACCCCACAACCTTTTAGGACTCCTCCAGCGTGACCACGATCATATCCGACAATACCAGAGACCTATCTGCTAAAAAAAACACTCCTCAGCGGTGAATTACCGGTCGGATTGCCCTGATTGAGACACACAATTGGCACGACATTCACCCGATCTCTCTGTTCCTCCCTGTTCATGTTCAATCTCAACCCTTCCTCATTCTGCCTTATCTTTTTGCTTGCTCCTGGACACCCTGCCTCCCTTCGGGTCGCCTTTCTTCTTGTTTCTTTCTCTCCAATGCTCCCCTCACATATCTCTGATTTATTCTCCACCGATCTGACGATCTAAGCATCTCCTCCACCAGTTCCGTGACTGATTGCACCCTACTTCCTAGCTTTCTCTCAAGCAGGCTCCTCTCATCTATCCATCTATCACTATCGCATACCAATAGGGCGTTTGAGACAGTTTCTGATATTTCACAATACAGGCATTTGTCATTTTCTGCCTTTTAAAACCGTAAAGGTATGCATTGAAACAACCATGTCCTGTGAGTATCTTCTTCTTCTTCTTTGGGTGCCGTCTTCTTAGCGAAGGTTGGCGATGACCTCTGCAAAGTCTTCCCTATTTTGGATTTTCCTTATTAAACTTTGAAAGTCTAATCCTGGTCCAATCTTTGATGTTGCGCAGCCAAGTCAAAAAATAGTCAATTCAAGTTTTATTCGTTTCCAAATTATACGCAAAAATTAATGCAAAGAGAAAAGTAAATTTCTAATACAAATTACAATAATTATTATTATTGTATTAAATAAGGAAATTTAAGTAATTTTATTTGCAGTTTACTAAAAACTTCGTTGATCTATGACACTAAGCGTCTCTCTTCCGAACATATACATAGCGAATACATTCACAAACATTTTATTTACTTACCTAAAGTAGCATCCTGATACTCTGTGTAATTTGGGTTCCACAGCGAGATAAATGACAGTTTGGCTACCCTGGTACGGCGTTTTCAAAAATAACCACAGCCAAGGCCAAACGGCAAATTTCGTTAAAAAAGAAGTTCCTAAATTAGAATAATTTGATATGTGTCCTGTGTTCCGTACTAAACCAGGTGATACGGAATTGAATGTTATTTTCGCACCTGCAATTAGACCAAAAATATTTCATGTTATTAAAATATAAATAAATATGTACTGAACAACGAATATCAACATAACTCAGCATCAACAGCAGCATAATCAAATAAGAAGAAAAATAAGATAAGCTAAAGAGACTTATTTTGCTAGAAAATGGCAAGAAATAGAAGACTTACAAAACAAATATGATAACTTCAGAATCCATTAGAAAGTTAAAGAATTAGCTGGGGTAGCAAAACAAAAAACCTCAAGCATACTATTGGACAAACAAGGAAACATTTTAGTGGAAATGTTTCCTTATTTGGATAGTCAAAGTAAAGACGAGGGACCCGAAATAACAAATTCAGAAGTTATACATGCAGTAAAGTCCATGCAAAATAATAAGCTGCTGTCAGATGAAATACTGGTCAATGCAAAAAACATAGATATTTTAGTCCAACTACTGAGCACAATCTATTCCACAGGAATGTGACATCAACATTTATTTTCAACGAAAGAAAGTAAATGCCAAAGAATGTAGTGATTATCGAACGATCAGTCTAATGTCATATACCTTAAAAACCCTGCTAAAAATCATCCATAATAGAATACACGCTAAGCTGGATGTGGGAAATGAAGTGGGTACATGAGAAGCACTATTTTCTTTAAACGTGCTGACCCAAAGATGTTTGGATGTTAATCGAGATCTTTATTTATGCTTTATAGACTACAACAAGGCATTCGAAAAGGTAAAACATGACCGACTTATAGAAGTATTCAAAAATAAGAATCTGGATGTAAGGGATGTATCATTGATATCAAATTTATACTACAGCCAACGATCAAATGCAAATGTGAAAATTGGAAGAGAAGTGTCAGAAGAAGTGGAGATATGGAGAGGGGTCAGGCAAGGTTGCATACTGTCGCCGTTGTGACATGAAAAGTGACCGGAAGTTTAATTAACAACATAGATATGCCGACGATACAGTAATAATAGCAGACAACTTGGAAGACTTAGAAACAATAATGAACAAAATATTAAGATATAGTGGAGAATACGGACTCTCTTAATATAAAAAAAACCAAATTCATGAGAATTAGCCATGAACAACGACTCCATCATCATGTAAACGTCGAGGCTATCCAGCTCCTCGACAATACGAACCTAGAGAGAAGGCTCAAAAGAACAAAGCCTTTTGAACTGGTTTAGTGAGTAAGTGAAAAAGCAGAGCAAAGTATTGTGCGAGTATGCATGCTAAATTTAATGCTAGTTATTAGAAATAATAGGAAAGGTACTAGTGAGTAGACACCTAATTTTAAGTTTTCATTAGTAATTTAAGTTAGAAACAAATTGATAATTGGTCTTACTGACCAGATTTTAATGTAAGTACACTTCAGTGTCTTTAGTAAAAAAAATGAGAATTAGCAAGAACAATACAAACGAAATATTAACGGTAGGCGGCCAGCAGATTGAGAGAGTAAATAAGAGTCAGGCCAGATCTGACATTGGCCCTCAGAATAAGGCTAATTAAATGATATGTACACAGTGGTCTCTACTATGGAGCTGAATCATGGACATTAAACCGGAATACAATAAATCGACTTACCGCGTTTGAAATGTGGACATTTATGAAGATTGTTAATGATTCAATGGGTAGATAGAGCCACGAATACAGAAGTGTTAAGAATAATAGACAGAGAGAGGGGAATGGAAAATACAATAAAAGAAAGAAAAATTGCAATATCTCGGACATGTGATGAGAGGCGAAAGATATAGTCCGTGCAGCACACGAAATTTGGTTTAGTTTTCGCTTTCATGCGAAACGCACTGTACTATGCAACGTGAAAATATCGACTTGAAAATTTTTAGTTGTGTTTCTGACTTTGAGGTGTTAACTTCAATAAGTTTGTGTGTTTCTCCCGTTTACTGTTGCGTATTCAAATTTATTAAAAGCGGTCAAAAGGTAGGTACTTTATCATAAATTAAAATACATAGGGACGCATTAAGGAAATTTTAATAAATTTTTTTCATTTCTTTTTGTTTTGAGACTGGTGCAAAACAAAAATTACTTGCAGTCGTGTTTCAATTAATCGGTTAATATTTGATATTGGAAAACCTTTTTTTTTTAAACTACTTCATATGTTACGATTTATGTTGATTTGAGTTTATATTTTTTTGAAATCTTTGTTTTTTTAAAATATTTTTATATTTTCATTTTCTTCACAGTGCCATCACAATTAATAACAGCGTGTTATTCACAGTCAGGGCCGACATATTGTTTACAATGTGTATAGTTTTTAAAAAAGGAGCAAGAAAAAAACAACACAAAATCTTCGGTTTTAAATATGGTTGTGGAAGCCACTGAAATTTCTAAAAGTAGCGTCCAAAGAATCATTAAAGAAGGAGAGAGAGTTTCCGATTTTTCATCTCCTTCAGGCAGCTCGGGAAATGTCTTTAAATCTCCCAGAAAAAAGATTAATCAGCCAAAACCGAAAACCAACGTCGATGGTTATGAGGGTGAAATTATAAGAAAAACAGTGCATACTTTTGCAATTCTTCATTACAGCAGGCCTACAATGTCAGCTGTTTACAACGATGTTAAGAATGAGATTAATTTCCAAGGTAAACTATCGTCGTTCAGAAAAGTGTTGAAGAAATTAGGTTTTAAATAGCAAAAAACAAATGACAACCGAAAAATACTCATGGAAAAAAAACGGATATTCGAGCCAAACGAACCGAATATCTAAAAAAAATATAGAGTTGAGGGTTTATGATGTTATCTACACTGATGAAAACGTATCTCCACAGCAGCAACCTTTTAAGTAATTCAGGTATATAACTAAATCCAACTAATTACTTAAAGGAAATCCACGTATTGGTAGGTAGAACCTAATTATTGTTCGTATTGTTTCTAATTGTTCTTATCTCACCTCATTGCAATTCCTAGTAATCTCTGATTTCTGGTAGATATGACGTATGGAGAATTCCAAACAAATTATAAATAAATCATTAGCATTCAACAAATCAGTAAACAAATTATCACTAAATCAAATTATTCGCTGTACCCTTTTTTGAATATCGTTTAATTTACCGTCCTAAATACACTTATAAATAAATAAAAAATTAGTTTAATTTGTAAATAATTTGTAAGTAGGTACAACTGTTTAGAAATTTTAAAAAATTATTAAATTAAATGTGTATTAGTTATTCATCTGATAATATTTGTTATATGTCTCAACTTAAAATAAGAAATTGAAAATGTAAACTTGAAAAAAAGATTGAACAAAAATCATTGAAAATATAAACGAAATGCACATAAAAACCATTTTGGTTATGCACCGTGCAATTTTTTATTTATTACTCAGTCCAACACTGTAATTATTTCGACAATTTCGAGGTTGCAGTCGAAGGTAGAACGTTTTAGTTTGGTTAGTATAATTCCACTTACAATAGAATCTTTCTGCCTTTTCTGGCGCCTTCTGAAGAAGACGCGTTTCCGGGTTGAAGAACCTGAGAGAGTGGTTTGGCTGCAGTTCAAGGCAATTGGTCAGAGCAGCTGCCTCAAAGGTCAGAATAGCCATGACGATTGCCAACCTTCGTCGCGAAGATGGCACTTAAAGAAGAACGAAATAACAAAAAAATAATTAGGAAAAAAGGGAAAAGTGAGAACAGAACTAAACAGACAATAGAATAAAAAAAGAAACATTTTTCCTGTTTATTACCTTATGATTTAGTTGATAAACCGCTATTTAATACTTACCATTATGAAGCTGTGCCATATATTTAGTAAACATTGTTAAGGCTAGTTTACTATCTGCAAACGCAACGAGCGGTGCAGAATTCTTTCCGAAATCGAGATCTAGTTTACCATTAAAATGAGCTAAGGCTGATATATTGATCACCCTACCATTATCAGATTTTTTTAACAACGGTAGTAGTAAATGGGTCAATAAAAATGGTCCTAAAAAAGATAGTTGGAAAGTTAAAATCATGCTATTATACAGAGATGGTTGAAAATAGAGAAACAACTCGATTTTTATTCCAATAAGGTCATAAATATCTTAACGATATAGGTATCTTGTGAACCACCAGCCTTCCAATACCACAACACAAATGTAATGGTCGGCATAAATATCTGAAACCGCCAAGGTCAGACCGATTTAGAACTTTGGTTATGCGACGTTGTCAGATCAATCGGGTTTCAAAGGTTTTTCGGATATTATTTGTTACCTGTTTCACAGAAAAATTTATAACAATTCTATGATATTGTTCTAAAGCTATTTTCTTGTGGCATTTTAAATTAATTACTATTTAACTGGGAATAAGCCACAATTAAGGTTAAAATACGTTTATTGACGTTTCAATTTCCACTTCGGAAATCGTTCTCAAAATACAAACGTTTGTATTTTGAGAACCGACAAAAATTTCTGGATCCGCCACTGTCTAGTAACGTGTCACACATGGTCTATTCCCTATTTTAAATTAAAGGTTTGTGATACTCGAGGGAGGGGATTGACAAATGACAAATATCAATATCGTTTGTTAAAAGATATCCCCATTGGAATAAAAATCGACCTGTATTAGCATTTTTCGTAGAATTAAAACTACTTTATACCCGATAAGGCTTTCAAATAAAAAAATCGTCATATGACTTACCTAAGTAATTAGTTAAAAAGGTATCACCCCCATTTCCCCCAAATTTTCCAATTTCTTTTGAATTATCTCGTATGATTCCAGCGTTATTTATAAGAATATCAATCTTAGCGTATTCGTCGTTAATCTGGTCGACGAAATTTCGAATACTCGAAAATTCTGATACATCCAGCAATTTTACTTGTATTTTTGCGTCGCTATTGATCCACTTGATTCTTTCCAAAGCTCTTAAACCTTTTTCGCCATTTCTGACGGCCAGGATAACAGTTGCCCCTAAAGCCGAATTAGTATATTTAGTTTATTATAACGGTTTTTATTCAAATTGCTTTCTGAAAAATCGTTTACGAATACAAATACACATTTGTGTGATATGATAAACCCTAAATCTAGACTTTTAGTTCTATAAACAAATCATCGAAGAGTTTTTATATAAAAAAGGCACATTCTTAGTTTTGTTCACATTTACTTACCTCTTTTAACTAATTCCTTGGCTGTTTCAAATCCAACTCCCCCGGAACTGCCAGTTATGATGACAGTTTTTCCATCAATTCTTACTGGACTTTCACAGTATGTACCAGCAACATAAAATCTGAAATATTTAAAGAAAATAGTAAAACCATTCTGCCTATATTACAGACCTAAGTTTGAAGATAAAATGGAACTATAAAGTCGCTTAGAAATCAAACCGAATTGGAAACAAAACGACACGCTTAGCCGCTGAGCGATTTTTCGCTAAGCGATTTTTTAGGTATTGCCACTCCAATAATATTGTGGGTTTGAAAAATTTTTTTGTAGTTCAGTCGTCCACGATTTATCTCTCTAATATAACTGCTTATAAAAATGCAATTTCTGAAACAAAATGCGACTAAATGCAAATATAATGCACCGGCTATAAAAAAACCAGCGTGGATTCCTATTTTCTTACCTCTCTTAACCGAATCGTGTTTATTAAGAATATTACATATTATAGAATTTAAGAATATTACATATTAGTATAATCATTCGATAACGTCTTTTGCTAGATGTAACACTAAAGTAAAGAAGTAGCAATTGAAATTTTAATTAGATACGTACATTAAATTAACCTTATGAATTATTAATGAATTTTTTTTCATATCATACTGTATACTTGATGTTTAATTTTGCCGTTTACAAATCTTCAGTAATATGCAGTAGTAGCTGCTGTTGCCAACTGTTGGGTTGGTGTATTCTGTGCAGAAACCATTAAATTGCAAATGCAGTGCTTCCTGGATATAATACAAGTACATAGATTCTGTCCTATGACACATTGTTAATGTATTACACATCATAGTATTTTAACAAAAATCAAGAATAATATCAAAGAATATAGACGCTCATATTCTTTGATAATATTCTGAATATTTTTCAATTTTGTGACACATACCAGAGAACTACCAACACAGTTCGTAGTTCTCTGTCTTTACTGTAAATTATATTATGTCATTTGTCATATGTGACGTTAATATTTATATTATTGCATGATTATAAGGAAACATGGTATGCTCACGCGCATCTATTTTGAACAGCCAATCACGTTTACGACCAAAATCGCCATTTTGAAGCGGCAATTCAAATATGTACAAAATTGATACGAAATATCGTAGTTAAATTAAATAAAATAAAATTAATATTATACATTCATCCAATTAATTCATATTTTAAATGATCTGAACAGACTCTTGCTAAAATTAATTTTTAAAAAATCGAAACAAAACAAAAACACATTTACATTTAAATTCCAGTACATTGCAAAGTAAGGTTAAAAAATGCAAAAGTAAACAAAGCAGACGTCACGCATGTAGAGGTGGTTGATCCAAGTATTTTTGTGGATCAGGTCAGGTATGCTCACTTACACTTACTATGAGTACAGTACCCGTACCATGGACGTATAAATAAAGATCTTTATTTATACGGCCATGATCCGTACTCGTTTTTTATAATTATATTGGTGTTAGGGATCAGTTCCACAAGTATGAATAAAATACATGTTCCAAAGTTAACTGGTACGGGATCAGGTCACCATCCCTACACACATGTGACATATTGAAAAGATGGTGGATTTTGGTCGGCGCAGAAATGTGCAAAAACGAGTCCACTAGTGAGCATACCTTGTTTCCTTATATCATGTATTATTGTAATTATTTTATTAATTAATATATAACCTATTGTTAAATAAAGGTGTTTTAGTTCATAATTTCATAATAAAGTTATTTTTATTCGGCATGGAATATGATGGAAATTATAAAGATGATAGAAATGAAAAACTATTAACAAAGATTAAAGATGAGGAAGATTCTCCAAACACATATTGTAAAACAGAAGTTAAATCTGAAGTAGTGGAACACCACTTTGAAAGTAGTAGTCAGATACCTCTACTTGAGTATTGTTTAGATGATATTAAAATAGAAACCAAATTAGAAGATGTAATCAAGGAAATTCCGGTTTCAGTAAAAAAAGAACTAGAAGAATATAACAATGGTAAGGAAGAAAAGATTGTTTTAACTTACTAAGGAATCTGAGAGAATGAATGTAATTTCACGTAATTGAACAGGAATATTCAGAGATTTTAAGTTGATCTGTATGTATTGAACATTCAGAAAAAATATCTAATAAAGAATATTATGTTGAAATTGGTAATATTATTTTGTTTGACCATACTTAATATGTCTTCAGTCTCAGATTTAGACATTTTATTTTAGTTTTTATATTTAGTCATTAACAATTGACAGCTTATTTGAGGCTATCTTCCACAAATTTTTACCATTTTTTTAATTTTTAGGTACTCAACAGGAAATAGAAAATACAGAAACATTAGGTAATCTTAAAGTAGATTTAGAACTTCATACTGGAAAAAAACCATACAAATGTGAAATTTGCCCTAAACAGTTTTTATATAAACATTCTTTAAATAAACATAAGAAAGTTCATACTGGTGAAAAACCTTATAAATGTGTAATTTGTGGTAAACAGTTTATTCAAAAAAGTAATTTAAATGTTCATATGAGAGTTCATACTCGTGAAAAACCTTATAAATGTGAAATTTGCTTTGTACAGTTTTCTTACAAAAGTTCTTTAAAGGTGCATATGACAATTCATACTGGTGAACTACCTTATAAATGTGAATTCTGTAGTAAGCAGTTTACTCAAAGACGAAGTTTCAATGGTCATATGAGAATTCACACTGAAGAAACTCCTTATAAATGTGAAATTTGCTTTATAATGTATGCTTACAAAAAGAATTTAATTGATCACATGAAACATCACAGTGGAGGACTTTATAAGTGTGAAACTTGTGGAAAACAATTTACTCAGAAATGTCATTTATATTCACATCAGAAAGTTCACATTGAAAAAAAACTCTATGAATGTGAAATTTGTAATAAAAAATTAACTCGCAAAAATAATTTAATTGTTCATATGAGAGTTCACACTAGCCAAAAACCTTATAATTGTGAAATTTGTTTTAAAAGATTTACTCAAAAACATACTTTATCTGATCATATGAGAATTCACACTGGGGAAAAACCTTACAAGTGTGAAATATGTTTTAAACAGTATGCCTACAAAAGTAACTTAACTGAGCATATTATGAAACAGCACAGTGGTGAAATACTTTAAAAATGTGAAATTTGTGATATGCAGTTTGTTGGAAAATGTGATTTATATTCACATAAAAAAATTCACACTGAAAAAAAATTTATATAAAATAATATTAGTTAATGAGAAATTTGTAATAAACAATTTGCTTGCAAAAGTAATATAATTTGTTTACAGATAACGGCATTGTTTTGTTAATCATAGGAATTAAGATTTATTGCAAACCCATCTCTAGAGTAAATCTAATATAATGCTGTAAAACTAATTTTTTGGTTATGTTTTATATACAAATAAATAAGTAACTAAATAAGTAATATGCTTTATTGTTACTGAAAATTGTACAAATTTTATGGATAAAGTTTATAACAATAAGACAAGAAAGAAGAAAAAAAAATCAGAATAAGAATCGTTTGTACTTTTAAATAAAAAAAAACAAAATTCTTCCAAACTTAAACATAAAAAATAGTACCTAATTAAGAACCTACAAACTTCGTAAAATGTACCCAACAAATAATAAAAATTAATAAAGCAGATTAATGAATTAAGGGCTCAAATATTTCACCTCCCTGTACTAAACAGTAACCAAATCTCTCATACAGACTTCTCCTCATATTTTGGAGTAGGGCTGGTGTCATGCTTGCAGAGAAATGAACTATTTTTGCCCTTAATTAGACGAGGTTTGTGGCTGTTTCAAACTGATGCCTATAAATGTTTTCTTTGAGAAAACCCTAAAAAGAAATCGTTAGGCGCTAATTCACAGGATCTAGTGGGCCATTTAATTGTACCAAGTGTACTTATCAGTCGATCAGGAAACATTTTATTGGGGAAGTCAATAGTTGCTCTAGAGTTGTGAGCCGAACACCCATCCTGTTGGAATTCCTCCTCCTCCTCAGTCCTAATCCCTTTTGGGATGTGGTGACACCATCGCTTTTACAGTTTTTTAACGATTTTCCTCCATTCTTCTGTGTCCTGGCCTAGTTGTTCGGCTTCATGTAACCCTTGGTTAATCAATATTTTGTTTGATCTACCCAACGGATCACATTCAACCATTAAAGCAATGTACTAAATGAACAATACAGAGTATTAGCAGTGGATGCGTAGTGTCTATGATATCGGTTATTACAAGAATAATACTTTGACGCGTTCCAATGCGTTTATGATACTGGGAATTTGCAAAGAGATGGAAGACTATGTTGATGTCTTCAGTCTCAGATGTGGACATTTTGTTTAAGGTTTTATATTTACAATCATTAACAATTGACAGCTAATTTGAGTCTATCTTCCACAAATTTTTACCATTTTTTTTTATTTTAGGTACTCAACAGGAAATAAAAAATACAGAAACATTAGGTAATTTTAAAGTAGATTTAGAACTTCACACTGGAAAAAAACCATACAAATGTGAAATTTGCCCTAAACAGTTTTTATATAAACATTCTTTAAATAAACATAAGAAAATTCATACCTGTGAAAAACCTTATAAATGTGTAATTTGTGGTAAACAGTTTATTCAAAAAAGTAATTTAAATGTTCATATGAGAGTTCATACTCGTGAAAAACCTTATAAATGTGAAATTTGCTTTGTACAGTTTTCTTACAAAAGTTCTTTAAAAGTGCATATGAGAATTCATACTGGTGAACTGCCTTATAAATGTGAACTCTGTAGTAAGCAGTTTACTCAAAAACATAGTTTTAATGGTCATATGAGAATTCACACAGGAGAAACACCTTATAAATGTGAAATTTGCCTTAAGAAGTATTCTTACAAAAAGAATTTAATTGATCACATGAAATATCACAGTGGCGAAGGACTGTATAAGTGTGAAATTTGTGGGAAAACAATATACTCAGAAATGTAATTTATATTCACATGAGAAAGTTCACATTGCAGAAAAACTGTATGAATGTGAAATTTGTAGTAAAAAATTAACTCGCAAAAATAATTTAATTGTTCATATGAGAATTCACACTTGCCAAAAACCTTATAATTGTGAAATTTGTTTTAAAAGATTTACTCAAAAACGTACTTTATCTGATCATATGAGAGTTCACACTGGGGAAAAACCTTACAAGTGTGAAATATGTTTTAATACATATACTTTCAAAAATAATTTATATCATCATATGAAACAGCACAGTGGGGAAGAACGAAGATCTTTATCAGTGTAAAATTTGTGGCAAGCAATTCATTCAAAAATCTAACTTGTATTTACATGAGAAACTTCACACTAAAGAACAACATTATGAATGTGAAATTGTGTAGTAAAAAATTTAGTCGTAAAAGTAATTTAATTGTTCATATAATAGTACACACTGGCGAGAAATCTTATAAGTGTGAAATTTGTTTTAAACAGTATGCCTACAAAAGTAACTTAACTGATCCTATTATGAAACAGCACAGTGGTGAAATACTTTATAAATGTGAAATTTGTGATATGCAGTTTGTTGGAAAATGTGATTTATATTCACATAAAAAAATTCACACTTTTATAAAAAAACTTATATAAAATAATATTAGTTAATGAGAAATTTGTAATAAACAATTTGCTTGCAAAAGTAATATAATTTGTGTACAAATAACGGCATTGTTTTGTTAATCATAGGAATTAAGATTTATTGCAAACCCATCTGTAGAGTAAACCTAATATAATGCTCTAAAACTATTTTTTTGGTTATGTTTTATATACAAATAAATAAGTAATATGCTTTATTGTCACTGAAAATTGTACAAATTTTATAAACAAAGCTTATAACAATCAGACAAGAAAGAAGAAACTTGTACTTTTAAATAAAAAAAAAAAAACAATAAAATTCTTCCAAACTTAAACATAAAAAAACTACCTAATTAAGAACCTACAAACTTCGTAAAATGTACCTAACAAAAAATAAAAATTAGGAAAGCAGATTAATGAATTAAGTGCTCAAATATGTCAAATATGTTAGTGCGATGATCAATCCAGGATATTCTCAACATGCGGCGGTATACCCACATTTCAAAAGTGTCCAGTTAATTTTTATCTGCTTTCTTTAAGGTCCATGTTTCGGATGCATATGTGGCTATGGGAAAAATGGGCGCCCTTACCAGCCTTAATTTTGTGTGTATTGTTGCGCTAGAATTTTTCCAAATTGCTTCCAGTTTCATCATAGCTGTTCTAGCAATAGTGAACCTTCTACTTATCTCTCTGTCACACCCTATGTCATTTTTTATTAGGGACCCCAGGTATATGAAACTATTTACTACTTCAAAGCCCCCAATTTCTTTAATGTGTTGAAGATTATTCCGAGCTCTGTCTACTATCATGAGCTTTGTCTTACTCCTATTTAGCTTTAGTCCATATGTTTTGCTTTTTTCCTCCAGACATCTCATTACGTCTTCAATTTATTTTTGATTTGTCGCGATTATTAAAGTGTCATCCGCATATCTCAAGTTATTGATTGTTTGACCTCCTACTGATATTCCGCCCTTCCATCCGTCTAGTACCTTTCGCATAATGTATTCGCTGTAGATATTAAACAGAGTTGGCGAGATTATGCATCCCTGCCTGACACCTGCCCCTGTTCTAAAATGATCGGAATGGGTGTTGTTTATTTTTACTGTGCACTTATTATTTTCATATAGACTCCGAAAGTCTGCATATTTCTATAACCTCTCTTTCGACTTCTCTTTGTAGTATGTTGGAAATAAACCTCCTGAAAATGGACCGACAATATGGTCGCCTAACATCGCAGTCCAAACCTTTTAAATTAAAGTTATTAATATTATTAAAGATTCTAGAAACGAAAAAAATTTAACAAGTATTATTTAAGACGAAGAATATTTTCTTAATATTATAAAATAGAAGTTACATCTGAATTAGAGGAATGCCCCTTTGAAAGCAGTGAGAGACAGGAATTTCTATTAGATATGTATTCTTCAGATGCTATCAAAGTTGAAAACTATAAATTAGAAGAAGTCACTAATGAAATTAAGGTTGAAATAAAAAAGAACTAGAAGAATATAGCCTAGGTAAGAAAGAAACGATTTTTTAAGGGAAAATGAACAGAAATATTCAGGAAACTACTGAATAGTGTTTTAAATTGATCTATATTATATGTATTGAAAAATCAAAAAATCTATAAATCAATCCCATATTATCTATATTTATGAAGCCAGTCATTTCAGTATTATTAATTTTTAACGAAAATATAGGTAAACCTAGGTATATTTCTAGAACTTCGTTGATTTCTCCCATTTTTTTCATATTCAGTAATACCTGCATAAGTTTTCCTTGCAGTAATATAGATTTTTTTAAATTTTAGATGCTCAGCAAGAAATTGAAGAATTAGGTGATCTTAAAGTGGATTTAAAGCTTAACACTGAAAAAAGACCATGCAAGTGTGAAATTTGCTATAAACAGTTTTCAACCAAATATTTTTTAAATAAACATAAGATATATGTTCATGCTAGTGAGATATTTTATAAATGTGATATTTGTGATGAGCAGTTTCTTAAAAAACGTAATTTAGATGTACATGTCAAAGTTCATATTGGTGAAAAACCTTATAAATGTAAAATTTGTGGTAAGCAATTTATTTACAAAAGTATTCTCAATAGTCATATGAGAGTGCACACTGGAGAAAGACCTTATAAATGTGAAATTTGCTCTAAAACGTTTACTCAACAAAGTAGTTTAAATTTTCATAAGAGAGTTCACACTGGAGTATATAATTGTGAATTTAATTGTGAAATTTGTGATAAGCAGTTTTTTAAAAAAGGTCATTTAAGTTTACATATGAAAGGTCACACTGGTGAAAAAACTTGTAAATGTGAAATTTGTGGTAAGCAATTTATTCAGAAAAATACTTTAAATACTCATATGAGAGTTCACACTGGCCAAAAACCTTATAAATGTGAAATTTGTAGCAAGCAGTTTATTCAAAAAACTGCTTTTAATGGTCATATGAGAATTCATACTGGAGAAAGACCTTACAGGTGTGAAATTTGTTCTAAGAAGTATGCCCACAAGAATAGTTTAAAATATCACATGAAACATCACAGTGGAGTAGGACTTTACAAGTGTGAAGTCTGTGGTAAGGAATTCGTTCAAAAATTTAATTTATATTCACATGAGAAAATTCACACTGGAGAAAAACTTTATAAATGTGAAATTTGCAATAAGCAATTTATTTATCAGAATTCTTTAACTCTTCATATGGGACTTCATACTGGGCAAAGACCTTATAAATGTGACATTTGTTTTAAGACATTTAGTCATAAATGTAGTTTAAATAGACATAATATAAGACTCCAACGCTCGTGAAACACCTTTATAATTGTGAAGAAGGTGAGAATAATGTTGTAAGATTGAAATTTGTGGTAAGCAGTTTGATCAAAAAGGTCGTTTTTATTTATGCAACTACGCCCATGTCTTCGGCCAAGACGAGTATGATCTTCGCTCCCCGAGCAGTTATACTCCATTCCACGAATATACGACTGATTTAAATTCGGTTTAAGATATCAATTTAAATGGTCCAATGTGCTGAATTGTACAATAGTAAATTCTCCCTATTTTTAAAATACTGTTATGACAGATATAAACCTTAGATTTAAATATGAAGTCATGTAGAGTTGATAGTTTATAGAACAGTTGTAATTCATATTTTGAAGTATATAATTACTATCAATGAGTTTTGTATTGTAAACAAGTTGGTTTTTTAACTAAGTGATTTAAACGAAGTGTAATTATACTTAAGTGATTAAATAGTGTAATTTATTTAGTATAATATTTAATTAGTATTAAAAAAACAAAAAACTTACTTACTCTCTTATTCCTCTAATCTCCTAAAACTATCATCAACAACAGATTCACAGCCATAGTCACTGTCTCTCTATCCTCATTCTTTTTCTTCTTCTAGTTCCATGACCTCTATCGATCGTTGGATATCATGTTGGCTACCATATTCGCTATCGTGACTTTATTGTCAGCAGCTCTAAATAACGGTGTAATTGATTTTCCATACCACTGCGTTAGATTTTTCAGCCATGATGTTCTTCTTCTACCAGGACCACGATTACCTTGGATCTTTCCCTGACTGATCAGATGTAAAAGATCATATTTTTCAGGGTGTCGCATAATGTGACCGAAGTATTCCAGCTTGCGTTTCTTTATTATATTGACCAGTTGTGTTGTTTGGTTCAGCCGTCTAAGGACCTCCTCATTTCTAACTCTGTCGACCCAGCTTATTTTCAGTAGTCGTCTGTATACCCACATCTCAAAGGCTGTCAAGCGTTTAAGGATAGCCTCAGTTCACGCTTCCACTCCATACAGCAGGACAGGAAAGATGTAGCAAGATGTCATTAGAACTCTAAGGTTAATGCTAAGATCGTGACTACAAAGTACGTTTCTCATTTTTACAAAGGCAGCTCGGGCTTGTTCTATTCGGCTTTTAATTTCTGCGGTTGGATTCCAGCTCTCATTGATATTACTGCCGAGATACACGAGTTTCTACACTCTGTCCAGTGTGGCATTTCCGACTTTTATACCGTCATAATGTATGTAATTTTGTTTGCTAACTATCATGTATTTAGTTTTCTTAACGTTGAGTTTTAATCCATACTGATCACAAGTCTGTTTTATTTTGTTTATTAGATTTTGAAGGTCTTCTCCGCAATTACCAAGTACTCGTAGATCTTTATCGTCCAATCCAGCTGTTTCCAATTTTTCTAGCATTTTTTTATGTTGGACTTTGTCAAAAGCCTTTTCAAAATCGATTGCACAAATGTACACATTTTGATTTATATATCTGCATTGAAAAGTGGAAAATGGGTGAAGGAAGGGCAGCTACCATATTCAGAGATCGCTTTCCTCATTTTGTTAGAGAGCTGATGACAGCATCAGACCCAACCAAGAAAAAAAATTAAGCCTGGTTTTAGAAAATGTGGGATCTACCCGTTAGACCGTGATCAAGTCCTAAACCGACTCCCTAGTGTCAACACTGCAAATGTTCAAGAAGTAGAAGAACATGTTAGCAATGTATTGGTTAATATGCTGAAATCCATGAGATATTCTGATACTCCTGCACGACGACGAAAGAGAAAGAAGAATATGAAGACTAACAGCTTGATTCAGATGAGCATAACGACAATAATATAGAAGAGAATGAATCGAGTTAAAATGAAGAGGTCATTAACAGAAGTGAAGGGGAGGTCGAATCAGATGATGAGGAGATAAAAATTTCTTTAAGCCAGATTGCTGAAAATCAAAAACATGGACAGACAAGTGTTCATGTTCCTAGTGTTTCCTACAACGTTTAAAATTTTTAAACAGTATTTGTTCCTACACACATAATTTTTTGTTCCTATAGTTATAACAGTACAAAAGTTATGCTGTGAGAATTAAATCCAACGCAACAGTACAATAAGCCAAAACTAATGCAAAACAAAGCATTGTTTTCTTTCATTCCGTTTGGAGGGTGAATAGCAAAACACTACTTTTTTTTAATTTTGTTTTTAATTGGGAAACTTTTTCAAATGTGCTCACTAGGCCTTTAAACGTATTAGCCGTGACACACATTTTGCATATTTTTCGTGGCCGATTAGATGAATAGCAAACTATAAAGCCTGAAAACCTCAAACTGTTTCTATTGACCCCGTTTTACGATACTGAACTGTTCAAAACGGCATGAGATAACAATCATAACGAAATAATCTAGTACACAAGTATTCTGGAGTTTTGGGCAGCAAATTACACAAGACAAAAGATCGAATGCGAATTTCAACAAAAAGATAACTTTTGTGTTTTAAAATATCATACAATTGTACTATCCAAATATATACAACGTGTTATATTTCATGTTCATACAAGTGATAAAGTTTACCTCTATAAGCACTAATTTACCCACACACTATCCTAGTATTAATTATTAACTATAAAAAAATGTACTTACCTTATTGCACTGATAATACTTATAATTAAAGAGATAATGTAAGGCCACCAACTATTTGTAAACGTCTCGAAGTCGCTCATTAGACTGTCCATAATTTGATTTAACTTTATAAAATGTCCAAACAAGAGTTAAATTTTAGTCACTACATCAGTCAGAGAAAGGAAATATGTAGTAAGCCCTTCTATATTTTAAATATAATTTGATTGAAAATAAGCGGAAGTTCTATTTGAATAAAATGAAATCATTCTTTGAAGGCTTCTATCATAAACGTCAATAAGATTAGTTGAGTCAACGGTAGATGTCACTATCAGTAATATTTGATTTTGAAGTTCATAAAAACATAAAACAATAATAGTGGCACTATCCATTAAAAATTTAAACTAAACCATTAAATGCATCTAATAATTAAAAACATAATGATGACTATCTTATGCTCACATAAACTTTGTATTACTGGTTACTAAAGATGAGATTTTGCCATCTGTTTGTTTGAATATCTACTACTAGCTAAATAATTGTATTAAACATTAAACTTGAAAATCAAGTATTGTGTGATCTGAAATTAATTTTTTATTTCTAACATTCTATCTATATTCAACCAAAAAACCATCCCTGCTGAGTGCTGGTAAGTGTCATTTGTCTGCTCTAAACGTCATTCGCAGTTCAAATCGTATAGCATCTGATATGTGATGTCATAATTAACAAAATGGTAGAGTGTGTCTTGAATCTGATTTGAGATTTCGATTTTATTTAGTGCTTGTGTTAGGTTAGTGTTTGGTTTCCATATAATATGAGGATTTACTAATTCGAAGTTCCAGCATGATTAGAAGCGGGGTAAGTTTTTTTACTATCAATGCTTTTAGTTATCAAAATTTCTGTTTTAAACAAATTCGGCCTACTTCGATAATCGCGTATTAGTTCAAGGGTTTATTTTGCGATAATTTTCACTAATAGCCATCAACCGCGTCGGCATAGGTCTGATAAGTTTGATCAAAGTGTAGCCTCACAAACTTGTGATGTAATTGGCAAATTGAACTAAAGATAAGGTAATTATTTATTTGCATAATCTTCACAACATGGAATAATTCGCGTCAGTAGAAGGGGGCACGTGAAACGATTTAGTATGTAATTGCTGTATGTATAGATATATATCTGTGTCTATTCATTATAATGATGTACTATGTAGCTCTGCTTTATAAAACGGCCTTGACATTGAACTGGGAATACTTGATTATGTTTATAGAAGCTCTTTAATATTCCCATTATTAGGTTTCAAGGTGGACAGCATGTTTACACTTACACATACTTGGTCCATAGGTATTAAAATAGAAATACCTACAGTACCTAAATGCTAGAAATTATAGTAATCAAAACAGATATACTTTTAGGTATTCATCCCACTATAATATTGAAATAATGAGTAGGAAATATTAAAAATACAGTTTATTAACAGTAACATAAAACAATAATTGGTCATTAAAAGCATACAATAAATTAGAAGTTAATTAACTAGTCTAAAAGAAAAATAATACAAAAAATTTATGACAAAATAAATAAAGAAATCAGGAACTCTTCAAGGATTAATCCATTATATTCCAGCATCGAATTTATTAATCACTGAAAATTTGATTTTTTTTTTTCAACCCTAAACCCTCCATTAGTCACTAGGAAAAACTGAGCATCAAGAGTCTCTATGATGTCTGAGACCAACAATTAAAAAAAATAGTTATTGCTATAAAACTCTTACAAATATTTTATATTGTGTATAGGAATGACTGAAAAATATTTTTGAAAGTATTTTATTGAAAAACAACAGATACTTGTAAATCCTGAATGAATAATTCTGTCATCAGTGTGTGGCAGAGGATTAAAATTTGTTTAAATTGGAAGAAAATTTTTCAGTAAATATTTTAGGCTCTAGTATCCAATTCCAATATCGTTTCAATACAAAATTGACAAAAATCTGTCAAATCAGCCTAAATAAGAATGTTTACATTCACTATAATCGGTTCACAATTTGTCGATAACTCACTACAAGTTTAACCCTAATTAGAGAACTGAAATATAGAGAGGAATAATGACTAATTGAATAATTTTGTCTCTTTTGATTTCCACAAATGTATTAATTTTGATTTCCACAAATAAATTTCGTCTTCACATTTCTGGTTCTATGATTAAATACATTTTTGTTTATAGTTTTATGACTGCCATCGTCAAAAGGTCGTGTAAATGATTAGCGTGATTACGAAATATCTGTGGAGGTTGATTTTAGAATTATCATTTGTTTTAAAAGTTTTTAATAACAAAAATGTGCCAAATATAATTAATTAGCACTTACGATATCGAATTGTTTATTTTATTTTTTGTATTATGCAGATTTTGCAGATTTTTTACAAAAAAAAATGGATATTGAAACTACAATAATGGAACATTTGAGTTTGAGATGGTACTGACATGTAAGACATATAAATGGAGACAGGTGGCTCAAGAAAATGATGGAATGGAGACCAGTGCAGAGAAGAAGAAGAGAACGACCGAGAAAGACATGGCAGGAGGGCATCAGAGCACAGCACAGCATAAGAAAAGAATTCAAACTGAGTATAAACCTATGTAGAAACAAAGATGAAAAGCGGAGCATTTCAACGATATGTTATGCACTAATTATGATAATGTTGAGTCTCTTGTGCAATTAAACCCTGATAAAAATCAGAACGAATTTAATCCAAGACCGTTACAGGTAACACTTGAAGCTATCGAAAAAATGAAACAACAAAGCTACAGTACTGATTAGTACACTCGCTCAGAAGCACAAAAGAGGGAAAACTTCTCATCACCATGGAGAAAGACCAAGCAGCACTACAAAAAATAAAAACTGCCCTTGGAACAACAGAGGAAGGTCTCAGAGCATTCCAAATAGGAGAAGAACACATAACGGAAACCATACATATAAGAGGCATGGCAGAGGATGCCACGACGGAGGAGGTTATCGAGGCATTCCAAGAGCAAATAGGTAAGTGGGAAGACCACTACAAGATAGGAAAGATGCGACCACTGAGGGGCAACACCCTTGCCACAACAATTGTCATCCCGGCGAGAGTAGCTAAAATACTTTTGCGCAGAGATTTTCTCAGAGTTGGGGTATGTAGATGCAGAGTCGAGAAAAGACTAAAAATAAAAAGATGTAGCAGATGTTGGGCATACACGCATGACACCGATAAATGTCGAGGCCCTGATAGGAGTGGTATGTGTTACCGTTGCGGTAAATCAGAGCACGAAGCAGAGAAGTGTCAAGAGGAAGAAAGGTGCGTTCTTTGTAATGACGCCCATAGAACTGGCAGCATGGACTGCACACATTTTAAGAAGGCCCTTCAGGAGGCGAGATATCATGAGAAACTTAGAAAACAGCAAGGAGAATACGCGGATGTCTTCCCTCCTACGCTCACTCCCATACCTCCTTTCCCTTCTCCAAACAAGGTTCATGTTAACTCCCATTTGGAGTCCTCCAAATCTCTGTGCGACGAAGCTACAGCTACCTTTAGTGTAGTGACGTTGTCACAGGGAGTTCTGACAACTTCAGTCTAAGTGCCTGTTCCGTCATCCTATGTGACCTTTAACACATGATACTAAGGTAATGATTTCAAAATGGCTTTAACCGGGTTAAAAAGACTAAAAATTCTACAAGTGAACATCGGAAGAGCCAAGGTTGCACATGATCTGATTCATGCGAAAGCCCTCGAAATTGGAGCAGATATTCTAATAGTACCTGAACCAAACAAGAGAATCATCCAAAATAGCAGATGGATTACAGACAACAGGGAAGATGTAGCAATATACCCCATAAATCATAAAGTGTGCATAAATAAGATTATAAAAGGGGAGGGGCACGTACTAATCAAATTAGAAAAAGTAGCTATTATTGCCTGTTATATCTCACCCAACATAGGTAGAGATCAATACAAACAGCATATTGAATCCATAATACAAATGTCACATATAGAAAAGAATTTTATAGTCGCTGGCGACATAAATGCTAAATCTATCTTATGGGGTTCCCCACGAAATGACTATAGAGGGGATTTATGGAATGAATGGATCTCTACGGCCAATCTAACAGCGCTAAATAATGGAAAACCTACTTTTGTCCGGGGTGAAAGCCGAAGCCACATAGACATTACCCTCGTAAACGAAAGTTATGCCAATCAAATATCTAACTGGGACGTTCTTGACGAAAACATTTTTACTTTTCACAGATATATTGTTTACGAGATTGGCATCAAGGTCACGAAGAGCGGTAGGAAAAAGATAAGTTTTAACAAAGACCTATTTAAAAATAAAATTAGCAACCTACGAGAAGAAGCTACTAACTTCACAAACTACCATAAAAACCTAATACATGCATACAGAAGCAGCAGCAAGGAAAAATGTGTCACATATACTGTACCCTATTGGTGGAACGACGAGATACAGCTTAAAAGAACAAAATGTTTCAGAGTCAGGCGAATAGCACAAAGGAACAGGACCCAAGAAAACTTGGAAGAATATAAGCGCGTAAAGAAAGAACTAAAAAAAGAAATAAAGCGGGCTAAACGCACATGCTGGCAGAACCTGTGTGACACGCTGGACAACGATATATGGGGTGAAGCCTATAAAATTGCCACTAAGACACTGAGGTCCGAGGCTCCATATAACCTTTGTGTAGAAAAAAGAAAGGAAATTGCGAAAGCCCTTTTTCCTAATAAGCCCGAATGCCAATTTCTACCATATACTCTAGATAATAGACCTGACGAGTTCACCATAGATGAAATAAGATTAGCTGCCGAAAACATAAAAATCGGGAGATCCCCTGGCCCAGATGGTGTGCCACCAGAAGCCATACATATTATGGTACAGGAAAATCCTGAAGTCACCAGAAAGGTATTAAATGAGCTCCTACACAACCAAGAATTCCCAGACCAATTGAAGATTGCAAATTTAGTCTTAATCTTAAAACCTGGTAAACCACCAGACGGGCCTAGTTCATACAGGCCTATATGTTTATTAGATTGTATTGGGAAATTCTATGAAAGCCTCATAAAACGCCGCCTTGAACAGGAGCTCTTAAACACAGGAGCTATTTCTGACCAGCAATACGGTTTTAGA